GCTGGGTGAATGCTCATCTGCCTTATGTGCGTTCTGTTCAACACAACTCACTCTGGCTCCTTCGTATAGTTAAACAGACAAAAGGTCTAAACACACACACATAAATATAAAGTTAATTAAAAGTGTTTATTTCACATACTTAAGCCCCACACATTATGGCATAATAATGACTTAAAACAATTCTTTTTCCAAAAGCAGGATTTTTCTACAAAATTTTCTTTCAGTAAACATATTTCATTTTATCTCCTTAATTGCTCTTTGTAAGCCTACCTTAGTAATCCCTGCATTGACCAGGATCAAATACTTACGATATGGTTGACATCTCCTATCTAGTAATATACACTTGAGTGAAATGATAGTGTAACTTCAGTAATATTAACACCACCAGTGCACCGGCTCCAAGACACACCATCAAGTTCATGGAGTTATCACTGGTATTTTTTTCGTCTCCAGCAAATGAACACCTAATCACCAACGCCCACAGCATTATGCTGTTGACTGTTGTTGATGATCAATATATATATATATATATATATATATATATATATATATATATATATATATATATATATATATATATATATATATATATATATATATATATATATATATATATATATATATATATATATATATATATTATATATACATATATATATATGACTTGTTGATGATCAATATATATATATATATATATATATATATATATATATATATATATATATATATATATATATATATATATATTCGTACGTTTTCTAAAGTGGACTGTTAAGGGCGTTGCCCCGTCAGCCACAAAGTTCTCCTAGTGTGACGTCACATGACGTAACCTTTCTAGTTCGGAGTACATGACATGGAGCCACGCCTCCCACCCCTACCCTCCCGCCTCACCTGATTTTTTTATGGGTGTATATAATGAACATTTATTTTCTTCAGCTTCTACCTCTCGTTCTGTATACCAATTTCTTTCCCAAAATGGTTCTAGATAATACTGAAGACTGTTTTAACAAATTTAACAAGTTCACTGAGCATCTTTGCGATCACAAAATTTTAACTCTTCTCAGACCACTACAGTACATTATATGTGTTGTGACAGTGTGCTCCTCTAGCACCATACCATTAAGGTCCAAGCAACGAAATAATTCGCTGAATCAATCAACTTAAAAATCGTATCAGGTATGGAAGAATGACTGTCACTTGGTTTATGACAAAAGCAGGCCAAGGTTTAAATATTACAAGGTCGAAGTTCTTGGGCCATTGTGAGAAGGTGAATCAAGCAATTAAACTAGTAGGTCTTATAGGAAGGGTGTTCAAATATCTAGACGGTCCGTCCCTCGTAGCGATCTTCAAGAGTGAGGTGCTTCCCGTCTGGAGCAATCACCCCGTCAGCTGATTGAAAAAGTCCAAGGTTACACTACAGACAGGTAAGGGGTGACCTAATTAAATTATATAAATATCTCAGCGGGCACTACTCGGTCGAGTGTCCATACCTGGAGCTGGCGGACGCTCGCCCCACAAGGGGTCACAGGCTCACAGCTCAAGATTGAAAGAGTCACTAGTCCAGAAAACAGCAAGGGCAAACTTTTTCGGAGTGAGAATTATACTCAATTTCAATTTTTCAATTTCGTTATTTTATTCCTTGATAGAGGAACCGGGATCCTAGTGCTGCCACTAGGTATATATAAATATTATAGAGGTCCTTACTAAAGCCTAAGGAAGGAAGGATATTCCTTCAACACATCATCAATATTATTTACATAATATCTGGCCAGTATGGGGAGGATCATCGTGTCTCCGTCAGGGTGTCGTGGAGTGGTGGTCCAGCAGGCGTCACAGAAGCGTTGTGTGTGGAGACATCTTAGGAGGTAGTGGACAAGGGTTGTTGGGTCTTCTGCATACTGCGTTGCTCGGGGGATGCAGGGATAGCAATCTCCCAAGCAAACTCTTACCCAATGATGATACGGGCAGCAATAACGTCCCTTTTCCGCGACCCTTTCCCATAAACATACGAGAGGTCAGGAAGTTTACGGAGGACATCGTACCAAGTGGGCGGGGAGTCCAGGGGATGGCTGCTTCCCGAGCTTCTCTCTGTTTGCGGCGAATTTGGGTCCTAAGCTGTAAAAGTGTTCGAGGAACAACGTAGTCAGGTGTGGCCTTGTTACAGCCAGTTTTGGCAAGGCCATCTGCTACCTCATTCCCTAAGATACCGACATGACTGGGTATCCATAGGAATGTCACAGGACGGCCTGCATCCTGAAGTGTTGATGTTAACCCTCGTATTCGGAGGATAAGGTCCTTATTCTACCCTGATCCAAATGCGATCCCGTCGAGAGCAGACCTGGAATCGCAGCAGACAAGCGAGGGGCAGAAACTACCGGCTTCTTCCTTAGTGAGAAGGGCAGCAAGGAGGATTATCACTTCAGCCTGAGTGGAGGATGCCCCGTCAGAAAGTCTGAGAGAAAGTTTGATAGGCTCAGGGGCATCAGGACGGGAGATGTAGACACCAGCCCCGGCCCTACCTGTAGCGGGGTCAACAGAGCCATCAGTGTAGAGGACGACCCTACCTGGGGACCAGTGGGCGATCCTGGAGAGGTAGTTTTTGCAGAGAATAAAAGGATTCACATGGGATTTTGGGAGCGGTCCACTGAGGGCAATCACTTCAGGTTGAAAATCCAGTCAGGGAAAAGAAGACGAACCAACAGCAGGGGTGACAACAATACCAGGCAGGCGGTCGTGTTCCTGAAGGGCTCGGATGAGTGACCCTCGCCACTGTCTTCTAGATGGAGGTCGGCCTCGGACAGCAGGAGTCAAGTTGGCTTGGACATAGTTGCCCCGAGGATCCCGTAGAATGGAAACGGTAGTTTTCAGGAAAAACTCCCGGACATGATCCTGTAAGGGGGAAAGACCAAGTTCGGTATATAGAGAAGTGGAGCGTGTCCACTGAGGGGCCCCAAGGATGATACGAGCAGCTTTCCTTTGGATAACTTCGAGACGGTTGACAGCAATCCGACTAATGTTGACGAGGGCAGGGGCGGCGTAGTCGACACAGGAACGGACAAAGGACTTGTACTTGGTGAGAAGCACAGGGATGGTAGAGAGGGGAGCGAGACGCCGAAAGCATATGTCTCGAAGATAGCGGACTTCAGGGATCTGACAACGTGTGCGAGTTACACACACACCCAGGTATTTTGTCTCTTTAACCCAGTTCAAGGGCGTTCCTGATAAGAGAAGGGGGGGAGGTACAACACGACCGTGCCACATGGCTTTAGTTTTCTCAGTTAAAAGACGGGAACCAAGTGAATCACACTCACTGGAGGCCAGATCAAGGATTTCCTGCATGCTGAGGTAGTTAGGGGGTTGGAGGAGGACATCGTCGGCATATCCTGAGTGGACAACTTCTGTCCGCCACGGGAGATGAATAATACTCTTGGAAAAATCTGCCAGAGAGTATTGTGACGGCACCGAGTGTGAGCGTTTTCAAGACCAGACTTGACCAACACTGACGCAGGTGCAGATATATTCAGGAGCCAGGGCATGCTCAGTACTTGCCAACAGTGCGTAACAGAGACGCGACCGACCGCCCGAGCGGCTAACGACCCGATCAGTGGCGAAGAGGATAAAAGAATTACTGTGAGCTGGAACGGCTCTGTGCTCATAAAGCTAGGCGGAACTACTGTGTAGTTAGACGGACGGACGGGTATTGCCAGTATGCCCCCGGGATCTGTAATGGAGCCATAAGAACCACAACACATTACACACTCTGGAGTAATTCACACGCAAGAATATTACCACAACGTTTAGGAAGGTGACACTGCGTTACTCTGGAACAAGACGGGCCCAGTGTCTTCCACACACAAAGCGAAGGAAGGAAGTTGCTTTGTGTTAGTGTGAGACTTTACACCTTGGCCTGTCACACGAATTCCGAGTCCCAACCTCGACCCACGCCCCCAGCACCGCCCAGCGCCCCTTAGCCTCGTCCCACGGCCCCAGCCTTATCCTCGCCGTCCCTATAAAGTACTGTTGTATTTAAGAGAAAACAAATCCAGGTAAGCTTAGTTTATCACTTTCCTTTATTTTCAACAAACTTTTCATAGAAATTGGAAATAAGAACTAAATGAAAATATAAGGTAATAGTGATGTTGATGTTAATCATATAAATTTTATAACTTTACTTTACTTTTACATAAATAATTATTTGTCATTGTCGGTAAACAAATAATTCTACATTTATCATTTCATTTGAAGCTTTTGACACGACAGCAGAAAATGGTACACTCATGCCACTGTAGTGTCACTGTTACCTGCCAGGTCTTTCTTACTGTATCTACAATTATACTTTGTTGTTAATAGATAGGTATATTTTCAGTAAAATCGTCATACAGTACCACACATTACCACACACCACACCTGCTCACACACTCGGGCACATTTTCTCACACTTTTTTTTTCCTTCTGAATTACGTACAATTTATTAGAGGCACTTCACGGAACGTTCTATGAAGCACTGCTGACTGAAGTAGGAGATTCCTTGTCTGGAGCTGAGTTCTGGGAAGTAAACTCGGTTGTGACGTACAATATTTACTGGTGGATAAATATAGTAAATTTACGACGTTTATTTAATGTAATTTGTTTATTAATATAATATATGATATAGCAATAAACATCAAGTTGCTGATACGTGTATACAAGTAACTTTTTTAGTTTTCATGCATGTGAAGTAACTTGTCATGAGCAAGTCTGTCAGTGATGCCTTATGACACGAGGAGGAAAGGCCTTCACTTCTTCCACTGTGTGACCCTCAACACGTCAACATCAACAGGTGTTATAATGAAATAAAAACACCAATCTTATTGATACTGGACATGCGTCTCTAATATTACGTGATAGAAATATATACCATAACAGAAAGAGCTTCTGTTATACAGCTAACACCTGAGTTGGGAGATAATGCTCCGTTGATTCTAAATCATTGACATACTGTGCACTGCATCAGCCACACGTTAGCAGTGTTGTATGAAGAAAACCAAAGAACATTTCGTGGAACACAGGATTTTCCAAGGGGTTAAGACAAGGACTGTCTGGGATATCCCGCGTTTCGTCGTCCTATTAAAAGTGTGTTGAGCTCCTGGGCAGTCAGTTGTCCCGCGTCCAGCCTTGCGGAAACATATGTACACATCCTCTTAATATTCTACTCCAATACCACAACCGTATTTTGTAGTGTGTGATCAGATAACTATTGTGATACGCATTATAGAAGTCGCGTGTAAGCACTGTGTATCAGAATTTTACACAATATTTTCAAAGTGATAAAGAGTAACAGACATACATCACGCAATAGTATGTCAATATTTTAAAAACTGAGGCGGAAGAGTTAAGTGGTTAAGAAAGTGAAGTGCTTCCTTATATGATGACTTGCCAAGACTGTTGTACCCACGCCTCTCACAGTCTTATGTTTTGATAAATCAGAAAACACCAGAAATTTAACGAGTTTCAGTGCAGTGTGTGTCAGCGTGTGATATTTGGTAATAATGAAGAAACTGATGAAGATATTACCGTTCTTTATTAACAGGTATGAATACACCAAGTAGAGAGTGTGTGTGTGTGTGTGTGTGTGTGTGTGTGTGTGTGTGTGTATGTTTCGCTTGGGATATATGCGAAACGTTTTTGTATTTAGGGACGAAAATTAGAAAATTTAAATACTCTACAAACTATTAATGAAAAGCACGATTGTTTACCTAACCTAATCTTACTTAACCTAACCCAGCCTAACCTAACCTAACCTAATTAACCAACCCAGGCCAACGTTACCTGACCTAACCCAACCTAACAATGGCAGGACGTTACGGTTGGAGCAAAATTAGTGACCATATAGGTGAGAGTAATTAGTGGCCATATAGGTGAGGGTAGTTAGTGACCATATAGGTGAGGGTAGTTAGTGGCCATATAGGTGAGGGTAGTTAGTGGCCATATAGGTGAGGGTAGTTAGTGGCCATATAGGTGAGGGTAGTTAGTGGCCATATAGGTGACAGTAGTTAGTGGCCATATAGGTGACAGTAGTTAGTGGCCATATAGGTGACAGTAGTTAGTGGCCATATAGGTGACAGTAGTTAGTGGCCATATAGGTGACAGTAGTTAGTGGCCATGACAGTAGTTACAGTTGGTGACAGTAGTTAGTGGCCATATAGGTGACAGTAGTTAGTGGCCATATTGGTGACAGTAGTTAGTATATAGTAGCCAGTGGCCATATTGGTTAGTAGGTGACAGTTAGTGCATAGTGAAGTAGTTAGTGGCCATATAGGTGACAGTAGTTAGTACAGGTGACAGTAGTTAGGGCCATATATAGGTGACAGTAGTTAGTGTGACCATATAGGTGACAGTAGTTAGTGGCCATATAGGTGACAGTAGTTAGTGGCCATATAGGTGACAGTAGTTAGTGGCCATATAGGTGACAGTAGTTAGTGGCAGTGAGTAGTTAGTGGCCATATAGGTGACAAGTTAGTGGCCATATAGGTGACAGTAGTGACCCATATAGGTGACAGTAGTTAGTGGCCGTATAGGTGACAGTAGTTAGTGGCCATATAGGTGACAGTAGTTAGTGGCCATATAGGTGACAGTAGTTAGTGGGTGACAGTAGTTAGTGGCCATATAGGTGACAGTAGTTAGTGGCCATATAGGTGACAGTAGTTAGTGGCCATATAGGTGACAGTAGTTAGTGGCCATATAGGTGACAGTAGTTAGTGGCCGTATAGATGACAGTAGTTAGTGGCCATATAGGTGACAGTAGTTAGTGGCCATATAGGTGACAGTAGTTAGTGGTCGTATAGATGACAGTAGTTAGTGGCCATATTGGTGACAGTACTTAGTGGCCATATACTGTATATGAGAGTAGTTAGTAACGCTCCACTTTTGTGGCAATGTTAGAGTTAGATCCTGTGAATTATTGTACGCGTGTAGTGGATTTCTCCCCTACAAACGCTGTTTGTCGCTGCGTAGCCGACCCCGCGAATTCCCCAGTGTATGCCTCGTGGTCTGGGTCAACCAGCGCCGCCATACATCACGGAGGTCAACTACTAAGCGACAAACAGCGTTTGTTGGGGAGAAATCCACTACACGCGCACACACTGTTTAAATCGAAAGTCGAAATGATAAATGCAAATTTATGTTCACACAAATATTATCTTTGCTCACTCTCTCTTGACAGAAAAAGCACAGTGGAGGAGTGTTCGTTCAGAGACAGCGACCAAACTTCTTTTCAACTCAACGGCGGGAATTACCAGAGTGGAGGGAGGCAGGCGGCAGAGAGCACTGGGAGGTTCTCAGTACTTGACGTCACAGTTATAACCGATGACGCGGCCGCCTCCCTCGTGTCACTTCCTGCCTCACAACTTGATGAGCATGATAGCTTGGAGTTTATACCTCCGCTCTTTGTGGTGAGTAATCTGTGTGTTAATTTTGCATGATTCTTAGATGTTAACCTTTCTACAAAGTTTTTTTTCTTACATGATAATTATGATAAAAGTCATTCCTTTAAACTGATCCCATAACCTCAGTTTCTGTGGGTGTCCTTTGATATAATATGATAAGCTTAAATTATAAAGGCATATTAATGATTTGGAATTTTGCGTGTAGATGGAGTGTAATTCAAAATTTTAAAAGTTCATTATAGTCTTATTTAATATTTTATTTACACTTTTAATATTAAATAACAACAGGAACCAAAAAACAAAAGCAGTAGTTATCTTGTGTTTTGCCGGGTATATTACTGTAGTCACGGTAGCTATCTGCATCCTCTTCGGTTATCCCTCGCCCGAATTAATAACGTTAACCGGACACACTCCCTGCCGCAACATAGTGAACTAGGTCATCCCTGAATCACGATTTTTAGTCACTCTATTTAAAGCAGTAACAGTAAACAAAAAAGTTAAAGACCTTATAAAGAATTTAACTCCCAGTCTTAACCAATATTATGCTCAAGATAAAAGACCTCCATAACTTGGTATGTTACCATAATTTTGTTACACACAAAATGTAATGCCCATGACAATTTATTTACAGGAATGTACCGTTTTACAAAAGATTCATTGAAATTATTAGAAACAAATGGTTCAAGAATGACTCTTATTTTGTTTTTGTTGACAGGCTATCAAAACAGGTGATGTCCGGGGGTTGCGGGATATCTTGGCGGTGGATGCTAAGGCGGCCAGCAGACCCAAGTACGGCGGCTTCCCTCCTCTCCATGCTGCCTGCAACGTCAAAAACCTGCACATTCTCAGGGAGCTCCTCACCAATGATGCTAAGGTAAAACATAATACAATATAGGTAACTTGTGCCATGTTCCGACTTTACCCTTAAATGGTTAATATGTCAGCAGAGGATGGCGACTCGCAAACAAACTGGATGTACATAAATATTATTTTCTGAATAAAAGAGTACCCATTATATACAGTGTAACAGCCAGTCAGGCGGTTAAAGGATTTAGTGAAACTTGTGACGTTGAACTCAAACATTATAATTCGGTCAAACCTGTTGGATACAATTCCTTTCAGTATTTCACATAAATCATACATAGGCAACCACATAAATGTCTAATCCAATATATATTTACATAACAATCATAGCTATGTAATCAGTCTAATCTTAACACTTACAATGAGTACTTAATTTTCCATATTTTTATGTCGTCACAATGATAAACGAAGCAATGGACACAGTGTACCTGTGTACACAATAAGTACCAGTTAAACTTACGTGTTGAAAGTCTCAAGAGAAACCAGGTTAGGTGTTGCCTCTGTGGTCTGAATAGCTACAGTGCCGATACACTCTGCCGCCTCCCCAACCTTCTCTCGATGGGTGAGGGCTGCTGAGTCGGGTGATTATACACAAACAAGCTCCCTTACTACCACCCAACACCACCTCCTCTAGGTCTCTCATCTTCAACCATCTCAACACTCTACACACTGTATACGGGCAGGCACACCCACATGACATGACTTACAGCCTAACATAATGTTTGTTTATGTGTCATCCTACTCATTACTGCTTGTGGTAACATACAGTATATTGTGTCATTTTAGGTAGGGGCGTTAGGAGGACTGGGCCACACGGCGCTGCACCTGGCTGTGAGTGAGGGTTGGCACGAAGGCGTAGCTGAGCTGCTGCAACATGGGGCGTCACCAGACGCAATGTTAGAACCACCGTCCACCGTTAAAGGAATGCACGTGGAGACCTCCCTGCATAGTGCTGTACGACGTGGGGATCTTACATCCACTGTCCTCATGCTGGAACGTCAGCCAGACCTTACCCTCACAGACAGTAACAACTGTACCGTCCTTCACTTGGCTGCACAGGCTCGCAGTCCTGAAATTATTCATCAACTGCTGCAGAAGAAGTTACCTAATGAAGTGGTGACTGTATGCGACCGTGACAATAACAGTGTCCTGCACAAGGCACTACTGAGGAACTGTGATGCAGCTGAAGAATCAAAAGTGTGCAGCATCGTAGAGGAACTTGTCAAAGCTGGAGCAAAAGTCAATTCCATCAACAATCAGGGAGAATCTCCCCTTTTTTTAGCTGCTCAGCAAAGGTTACCGAAACTTGTGGAACTTCTCCTTTCCTTAGAGGCCGACCCAACAATAGTGACCCGCAGAGGCCAGTCAGTCCTGCACGCCGCCTGTAAACATGGCTGTACTTCCTGTCTAGGCTACCTGCTCGCCACCAACCTCGTCAAACATCTGGTCACGGAACCGGACAATGAAGGTCGCGAACCGTTTCATTATGCCGTGCATAGCGGATCTATAGATTGTTGTGAGTTGTTGCTAAACAATGGTGACCACTTGACGCGTTTAGACAAAGATGGAGTCTCTCGTTGTTCCCTTATCCTGGAGCATCTTCCGTCGGCCCTTCAGCTCCTCAGGCGTCTGTTCGACGCTCACGTCCTCCTCTCCAATAACCCACAACACGACGCAGACTTCCGCGTCACCTTCGACTACTCTGTCTTGTCTTCGGAGAAGGAGGGGATTCAGAGTTCCCTCACTTCGGAGCTCTCAAACTCGCGCCTCGAGGCTCTTCTCAAACATCCTCTCCTCGAGAGTTTCCTCTTCATTAAGTGGCGCAAAATCAAACCTTTATTTTATTGTAGTGTCTTAATTTACTTGATGTTTCTCTTGGTACACACCACGTTTATAGTCATGACGTACGGAGCTAACTCATGGAACTGGCATGACAAGAGGGACCTGCTGACCATCTTCATACTCATCCACGTTGTTATGTTTCTACTTATACTCATTCCAGATTTGATCATCATGTTTGCCAACTTTAAGAAATATTTACGGCAGTGGGAGACGCTAACCAAGAGTATTGCTCTGGGAAGTTCAGCTATTGTTGTGTTTTCCAACATTATTTTTTTGGACAATAAAACTTCAGAAACCACAAATGTGATGGCTGACAACGTGATATCAAATATAACAGCAGGAAACTTCTCACAAAATAGCAATGTCAGTGAACTTGGAACGGGAAATTATAACAGAAGTCGGGTTGAGATGCCACTTGTGCAAAGTGCAGCTGCCATCTCTGGCTTCTTCTGTTGGGTGGAGTTCATGATGCTGCTCGGCCGCTTCCCCTCACTCGGTACTTACGTCCTCATGTTTTCACGCGTCGCTCGGTCCATCATCAAGTTCATAGCTGCTTTTTCCAGCCTCATCATCGGATTTGCCATCAGCTTTATGGTTCTGTTCCATAATCAAAAGCCATTCAAAAGTTTTCCTTTAAGTTTGGTAAAAACTCTCATGATGATGATAGGAGAAATCGATTACAACAGTTTAATGTCGGAATTAGAAGAACGAGTTCTTAGCTGCATCTTCTTGGTCTCGTTTCTCTTCCTAGTTTGTGTTTTAATGGCCAACCTTCTAATTGGTCTGGCTGTAAACGATATTCCGGACCTGCAGCGCCAGGGTAAAATCAAGAGGCTTTCGAAGCAGGCCTCCTACTTGGTGTCGTACGAGAAATTGATGATAATCGCTCGTAACATGAGCTGTTTTCCTCGTCAGCTGCGCATTTTGATGAGCAGCCGCTGCAGGATCCCTCAGAGGGTGAATGTTTTGCCCAACAAACACCACAGCTCTACTCGGAAGTCACTGGAGCACAATGTACCCTCAGAGACACTTCAAGAAGCAATCCTGCTCGGTAACTGCGAAGACTCAAACGATGACCTGAATAACATTGAAGAGGAGGACCTGATGGGCCAGTTTAAATCTTTTAAACTGAAGTATGCCCGTGACCGTCGGGCACTGAACCGCAGGCTAGCGCAGCTCCCAGATAGCACTGCTACCGAGAAAATGCTCAAGGAAAGCATGGACCAGATGCAACAAATAGTACAGAATCAACTGACACAACTCTCCCTGCAACTTCAGCAGTATAACCATAACTGTACTCATTGCCATCCTTTACCCTCAACACAGAAGCAACGGCAGCGAAATAGACAGCCACAGGAGGTAGAGTATTATCCCCCATATTCTCAGAACCAGTGGCCTACACTCTCAGTCCTTCAACAGTCTGTACAAACCCAGTCAGTGCCTCTACAGACTGTAAAAACACAGTCAGTGCCTCAACAGACTTTACAAACACAGTCAATGCCTCAACAGATTTTACAAACACAGTCAGTGCCTCAACATACTTTACAAACACAGTCAGTGCCTCAACAGATTTTACAAACACAGTCAGTGCCTCAACAGACTTTACAAACACAGTCAGTGCCTCAACAGACTGTACAAACACAGTCAGTGCCTCAACAGACTGTACAAACACAGTCAGTGCCTCAACAGACTTTACAAACACAGTCAGTGCCTCAACAGACTTTACAAACACAGTCAGTGCCTCAACAGACTGTACAAACACAGTCAGTGCCTCAACAGACTGTACAAACACAGTTAATGCCTCGACATTGTGTTCTTCAGCAGTCAGTTCAAAAGCAGCAAGAGTCGTACATCCAACAACCACAACATCCACTGGAACAATCACAATATACCCAGCACCAGACAACACACCAACCTTTGTCGCAGCAGCAGCAGCTAACGCATCGATACTTATCGCAGCAACAGCCTTTGACGAGAGAGTATGTTCAGCAATAACCTTCTACAGAGCAGCAGCAGCCAACACAGCAACATATGAGGAAGGAGTGTGTACATCAACAACCAACTCTCCCTCCTACCATCTACAGAACAGTAGCCAAAGCAGCAGTTCCAGGCACCAGGGGCAGCGGCATCACTCTACAGGGCAACCAAGTTACTAACTATAACTATTGTTCGTCCAGGATCCTGTCGTGTAGTGTTGCGTCTCCGTAACAAAGCGTGTTGACTTTTGGGCCTTCGTTGTTGAGCACACAGACATTAGTACACTGAGAGTACTTCTAATAGGAAGCATGATTGTAAAGGAAGTTATCCAAGTAACGGGGTGGTTTCTTCCTTGGAATAAAGTGAGAGGTTACGGAGGTAAGCGTCATCACTCAGCCTGTGTAGGAATGCAGCTGAGTCGTGGCCTTTAAAGGACCTTGACACTAAGCCAACTAACTAGAACAAGTTGGGAAAGAGATCCTCACTAAGACTGAAAGATTACATGCCCAGTACTTACCAAAGTGCGTAACAGAAACGTGACCAACCGCTAACGAGCCGATCAGTGGCTTCGAAGATGTATATTTATATTGTTAATATGTTTATTCTGTATAATGTATATTTTATATATATTTATAAACTTTACAAAGAAAATAAAAGCGTTAATGACTTGAGAGTTTACTTTCCTTATTAGCTACAATACAGATAATCACAAGCTTACACAAGGGTTAACTTACAAGAACATAAGAAAATAAGGAGTCTGCAATAGGCCGGTTGGTCTGTGCATGGCAGCTCCTGTCGAGGGTTACAACCACTCTCTATCGTCCATGAATCAATCTAGGCTCTTTTTAAAACTTTCCAGCGTCCCAGCACTTACTACAAAGCTTACACAAAGGTAAACTTACAAGATTCTAAAAAGGTTAATTCCCTCATTTTAAGTCCAAAAACGTCACCACCACCCTCACCATACACATGACTCAATTATGCACACTGTACATAATCGCTGTGGGCGTTGATTTAGTCATGATGAGAGATGCGCGTGTTACTACTGGCCCAGCAACACTTATTATATTCATTTATATACAGAGTTGTAAAAAGTCCCGGACTTTGTTACTTAAGTAAATGGACAGTACTGACGTCTAACTGGAAGACTAAGACCCTGAAGGAAAGGTGGGGGAGAAGAGAGGGATTCGAAAGGGGAGGAGGGGACAAGAGGGGAGGCTAGGTTAGGTAGGTGGTCAAGGCGCTAATGGACACTAGAAGATCAAAGTGAAAGTCCGCTGGCATAGCTACCAGGGTTGGTGTAATTGTATTTGTAATTTAACTGAAATGTAATTAATTACAAGAAAATAGGATTTGTAATTTAAAAGTTATCAGTTAATTTTAATTATAATTGTACCGCCCTGACCAAGCTTGGAGAAGGACGTGCCCCTGAGTGCTCGTGTTAGTGACCATAGGAAATGGCCGCTTTTGATCGTTGTGTTGTGAGGGAAGAGGGACGGTGTGTGAGGAAAGACGACTACCTGGCCACTCTGTCAAGTCAGCTGGAGCAGTTGAGGAGAAAGATAGACGTTTTAAAGGGGTAAAAAGAAGCCCTCAGGACTGAACTCCTTCAGGTATGCGTCCTGCCTAGCAGGACACCTGCGAAGGAGTGTCAGGAGGAGCAGGGGTGGAGAGTGGTTGTCTTCAAGGGGACTAGGGTCAGACTCAGGAAAGCTGACTAGGGTGTGGAGTGCAGTAACCCCTACCAAGTGTTGGAGGAAGTTGGCGAGGCTCACCCAGTCCTCCCTCCACTCTATGCAGAACCCTATCACCCCGGGCCTGCTTTTTGTGTCATCTGCTCCCATTGGGGTCACACCTTCACCGCCTGCTGCCGCCGTGATCGTCCCAGATGTCGTTTCTGTTCATGTAGCCATCACTCCTCCGTCTGTGCACAGCAAATCAAAGACCACCTCAATGGGGGTGGTGTGGGCTATGTTGTTGACTCCAGGTGTTGTAATTGTGGTGGCTGGCACAATGCTGACTCACGGCAGCCCCGAAGGCTGCGTCAGCGTCAACCTCAACCTCCCCCCCAGCTTACCGGGCCGCCTCCCTCTGAGTCCCCTCCTCTGTCTAAAGCAACGCCTCCTTCTTCAACAACGCCTGGCCTCACCTAGCTGCAACACAGCAGTCCCGGCCGTCTCCTAACTCAACTACTACTGGGCCTCCTCCCCGTCTCTCCTCTGACGCTGTCAGGCCTAGTGCTCCCACGGGTGCCCTCCCACAACCCCCCTCCGGTGACACGACACAGATCATATCCCTCTTCCACGAATTTACCAACGTATTGAAAACCTTTTTGATACACTCTGTACCGCCATCTCCGACCTAAACCAACTACCCCTGCCTTCAACTACTACCCAGTCATCCCCCTCTTCTGGTTTGACACAACCTGGTAGCCCCCCCTGTGTGCCCCTCATGCTCGCGGCCTACTCCACCGCCGCCTGGCATCACTACTGGCGTGGCACCTACCGAGCCTGCCCCAGTGTGCCCTGCTGCTCCCGTCTACCCACCGCAAGCCGCGCCTGCTCATGGACCCGAGAACACCACCCCCGGCTCCCTGTCCCCCCATCGGCATGCCGGCACCTGGGGCCCATCCACTCCAGTTCTCCACATTCAATTGACCACCATGAGGACATGCTAGTGGACTACACATTTACGCCAAGAAGGACGCGTCCTACCAACCTCTCGACGTCCCCCTTGATGCAGACACTACTGAAGTACACGCCATATCAATCACACTAAAAGGTATGTCCCTCAATATTGTCAATGCCTATGGCCTGGCACTTGACATTATTAGGGACCTGCCACGCTTTGCCATAAACAGAAAAATTGTACCGGGAATTACCCCCACACACTCATCATTCTGTCACTTTATGCAACTTGCTGATAAAACCCATGACCCTTCAGGATTTTACGCCCTTAATGCATGAGTCATAAAGGCAAGCATGAACTACGCATGCTTCCCAGATGGGCCCTGTAAACGATTCTGCGCTTCACCTTGCACAAGATGACAAGGGGGTGCACAATAAACTAGCCCCCTCGGGGGCAAATAAAAAAATGTGACCGCGTCGGCAAGGGCCGCGTGGAGTCTCCCCACACCCTTCACATCCCCACACCATACTCTCCACCCACACAACTCTTTTACTATGGTTCATAATTAATTAATCAAAAAAAAATATTATTATTTTGCCTGTAACAAGTTACGATTTTTGTTTTTCAATAGTATTTGAGTAAAAGAATTAGAAAACCATACTTAAGTAAAAATACAAAACAAAAATTTAATACTTTTTAAAAATTAAATACCCAAAAATGTTACTTGAATACAGTACTCAAGTAAATTTATAAGCTACTTTACAATTGTTTATATATTACAAGTAGTGAGAGGCCAAGAATGTGAACCCGTACAGTAGGTCTCACACACACTGAACACTGTCAACACACCCCAACACACCCTGAGACTCCCTACCAGGATGGAGGAAAGTGAGTCTGTTAATAGTGACTTTAAGGACATTGCCAACCCTATTGATAATATGGAGGATATTAACACTGAGTCTAAGAAGAATACCATCCCTACTGAAGAGGTGAAGGAACTTTTGAGGAGTTGTATTAATAATGACTCCAAGAAGGATGTTAAACTTACTGAAGAAGCTAAGGAACTGTTAAGAATTATTTATGAACGTAAGAAGGATGTTAACCCTACTGAAGAGGTGATGGAATTTTTAAGTATTATATATGAACGTAAAAAGGATGTTATCCCTAATGATGTGAGAGAACTTTTGAGTATTCTTAATGACTGCAAGAAGGATGAGATTCCTACTGAAGAGGTGAAAGAACTTTTGAGTGTTATTTATGAAAGGAAGAAGCATGTCATCCCTCCTGTAGATAAGGAATCTTTGAATACTATTTATAAACGTAAGAAGACCAGCCTTACTGACTTTATAGAGGAATATGATGATATTATGGATAAGCAGAAGGATGTTAACCCGACTGGTTATGTGGCTGGTGATTTGGATTTTCAGAAGAGGCCACGACCAAGGTACAGTAAACCAGGCTAGTGTTCTTAATATTTCAAATTTATATTCCAGATTAATTGTGAGCCTTACGTAGTTGTTCAAATTGGGCAGCGCTTTGAAGTAGAAGGAAAGTGTGGGGTTAAGATATTAAAAAACACCAAACAAACCTTTGAAAACCTTACCTAACCTTTGCTAACCTGTAGAAATCTTAAAACGATTAAAAGTTTACTTTATTCTTGTTTTTGGTGTTTAGTATTTAATGGTGGTGTTTTTGGTGTTCAGGTGAGGAGCGGGTGTACCTCCAACGCGGTCCACCCAGTTAGCCAACTTGGTCCTTCTTAAATAACCAACTCAGCCCACCTTGTACACTTCAAACAAGTAGCTGACTAGAGGTTCTGGAATGATTTTGATAGTATTTGTTTAATGTCTCTTTTGGTTCACTGAAATACGAAGTGTGTGAATGAGTGAATACCGAGGTTCAATCGGTATGAAGGACGAATTTTATGAGTTTATGTTAGTAGAACTTGATCAATGAACCATGATTCACATTCGTAGCTTGTGCTTCTCCAGGTGATTTTGAATAGTTTGAAATTATTGCTTCCAGTAATTTGCCTACAATTGATGTTAAACTTATTGGACAGAAGTTAGAGGATAGTGATCTAGCTCCCTTCTTGAAAATTGGCATCGCATTTGCTATCCTCCAGGATTCTGGTACTACACCCATTTTTAATGACCTGTTAAACAAATTTGCAAAGGGCATACTAAGCTCTTCCTTACATTCCTTTAGTACTATGGCAAATGTCTCATTGGGACCTGGTGACTTATTAGGCTTTAGTTTGTCTATTTGCAGCGTACTTAATATTGGAAGAACAAATACTTATAATGTATACAGCCTTAACAACATCAACCTAGAGAAGTCGACTTGTGAAAGAGACCTAGGGGTACTTGTAAGCCCGGACCTACGGCCTAGAAAACAGTGCGTTAATGTTCGAAATAAGGCAAACAGAGTATTGGGTTTTATATCTAGAAGTGTAAGTAACAAGAGTGCAGAGGTCTTATTGCAACTATATCTTGCGCTAGTCAGGCCGCACCTCGATTATGCAGTTCAGTTCTGGTGCCCCTATTATAGAATGGATATAAATTTACTAGAGTCGGTGCAGCGAAGAATGACAAAAATGATTCCGGGACTTAGAAACCTTCCATATCAGGATAGGTTAATGAAACTTAACTTGCATTCCCTAGAAAGAAGTTTTTAAGTGGGTGAAAGGAATCTATAAAGGGGATATAGATAAAGTTCTTATAATATCCGAGCAGGATAGGACTTGGAGCAACGGATTCAAGTTGGATAAGTTTAGGTTTAGGAGGGAGATAGGAAGAAACTGGTTCACAAATAGGGTGGTGGACGAGTGGAGCAAGCTTAGCAACTTTGTAGTAAGTGCGGGAACCCTGGAAAGTTTCAAAAGGAGGCTAGATAGATTCATGGATGATAGAGAGTGGTAGTAACTCTCGACAGGAGCTGCCATGCGCAGGCCAACCGGCCTATTGCAGACTCCTTATTTTCTTATGTTCTTATGTACTATCTCACTTAATCTAGTTTCTTCACTATCTCTGTATATACGGTAGTCGGTGATGAGAACTGTTGAAAAATATCTTTTCAGATTATTGCTCATTTATCCGTCATTATCAGTTAGCTCGCCGGTATCTTTTTTTTTTTTTGCGGGGATCAGCCCACCCGGGCACAGGTCACTGACCCACATTGGGGCCTGGGGGGCGAAAATGTAATAATAATAATATTAATAATAATAAATAATAGTCATAATAATTCATAATAAATAAAATTTATGATAAAACAAACAAAAATAAAATAATGATGATAATAATACAGTAACTGTAATAATAATAATAATATTAATAATAAAGAACTATAAATACAAAAATGAAAAAAAGATCAAAAGTGAGAAGCGATATATGTATGTTGTGTTGTCAATGGTAAGAGAAACAATTGAGACCCTGCAATTGTGTGTAATTGAAGCAGAAAGTCAGATCATCAACCTGGGACTTGGTCACAATTTTCGTGATGCCATATGGCAGCAGGGTCTACCATTAGACAACACATTATGCTTCCAATATCTTCTCAGGCAGTAGTACCTCCCTGTTTGGTAGCTGCCTACTACCTACTGTATTGGTCCAATCTTGGTCTGTGTTTTAGTTTTATACATTTGAAAGAATCCCTCGGGGTTTGACTTCGCCTTCCTTGCTTTTCTTATTTCGGTCTTAACCCTACTGGCCAATACCTTATAATAATCTCAGAGGTAAACTTCACCACCATTTATTCTCCAACCTATAGCCTTCCTTTGGCCAATAATATTTTTTAAATAATTATTTATTCATTTGGGGTCATTGTTATTTGATCTGAGTTTTCTGTATGGTATGTTCTGCCTTTGTCCATTAAGTAACTCACATTTAAATAGTTGTGGAACTCGTCAACCTCAGATCACGTGATCAGGTCATCCTCAACCGTCATATTTTGTGAGGTTATCGTTGTCAGGTCACCAGGTAAAGTGAGGTCGCCCTGTTTGGGTACATTGTTGTGGAACTCGTCAACCTCAGAACTCGTGACTGTTTATCAGTCATGGTTGTACATCTATGCTGCTTTTTATCATTGTACTTTTATCATTCTTGCAAAAATAAATGTGTAAACTTTTACATTTTACTCCGAGTTGGTTATCCTAGATGGTCCAAGTTGGATTTGGGCCGAGTTGGGCTGTAATCGAGGAGGGAACCATAAACTCGAAAGCAATTCTTAACCTTTTTACAAATTAAGAAAGGTTAGGGAAGGTGTTTAAAGGTTTATTTGGGGTTCTTTTTAGTATATTACCCCACATATTCTCTGTATTTCATACCCCTGCCCACTTTGAACAATTAAATTGTTAATAATTTCCGACGGAAATGCTATAGCATGAATTATTTTAATTTTTTCTAATCATTCTCTTGGTAAAATCGCAGTTTTGGCCAATATGCCCTAGTAGTTAAGAAAATAGTTTATACTGTGTATTTTGGTGTGATTTAATCGAATTTGACCTTTACTTCACGGGGGAAGTACCCGTTTTTAGAGTTATCCCCCCCCCAAGTATGAAAAAAATTTAAAATTCATTTCAGACGTTATTACTCTTTGCCCCTGGTTAAAATGGGGTAGAAATACTCCAAAGGAGATCTAAAGGTTGGGGACGGTTAAAACAGTCGGTCGTGTATTGGCCGAAACTGCAATAATACCCTTCTCCTTGTATAAGACTCAATATATCATTAGGTGTTGGCAACTACAGTACAGTACTAAATATTTACCATAAGCAGTAAAGAAGGAGGGACATCTTTAAATTTTCACTTTTAGTATTTTTTTTTCCTGTATCTCCAATCATAAATCACCTGTAGTGGGCAGGGCATGAAGGAGGAGGGAAATTGTGGTGGTAAAACACTGTGAAAAGCTGATCATATGACACTAAAATGATGTCTCTACGTGATTTGTCGGTTAAGAAATTAATTAATTACTGTAAATACTTCTCCAAAAAATCTGTCGAGTCAGCAAGTGTTGTCTGCTTTGTTTCTTTGCAACCGACCCGCTCAGTGCTCTCACGTACACAAAAAGTACAATTGCACCATGACACTTCAACAAAGTTGCATTCATTGGTACTGTACCAGATATTAAAATAAGTACAGTAGTACTTTTTGTTTAATATGCCCCCCCCCCTCCCAGCTAGGGAGTACATAAGGTTTGGTTGGTTAGGTCAGGTTCTATTAGGTTCTAGTAAATGTCACATCTTTTTAATACTTACTATAATGATAAGAACATCTGTGGAATAAATGAACGAAATTGAACAACTGCTTCTGGTGCTAGTGGTTTCCTCATGTATTACATAAGAACATAAGAATGGAGGAAACTGCAGTGGGCCTATTGGCCCATACTGGGCAGTCCCGTTTACACCCGACCCTTATCTCTCATATATCCATCCAACCTATGTTTGAAGCTATCCAGCGTATTCGAGTTAATGATGATATTTGGTAACTTGTTCCACTCATCCACTACTCTGATTTCCAAACCCATGTTTACCTATCTTGCACCAAATCTAAATTTGTCTAATTTAAAACCATGGAATTGAACCAAAATTTCTGGGGGTACCATTTCAATGATGCTAAACATGAAAATGGAAATGACAATGCACTGAACATAAGAGAACCTGAACTAACCTCTCCCTCAACTTTCATGTCCTTCCCACTATAGGTGATTTGTGATCGTAGATAGAGAAAAGCGAAAAAAGATTACAGAAAAGTTGTATGGTTTTTATTGCTTACTATCATCAAAAGAACACCTGTGGAAAATATGAACAAATTCTATAAAGTCCTTTTGGTGTTAGCTGTCTCCTCCACTAATATTTGACACTACAAGTTTTACCTTTAATTTTAAGTAATTTTTCCATTTTTGTTTGTTTTTCTGTATCTTCAATCATAAATCACCTGTAGTTCTTTCTGCTTAATGTGCCGCAGGATCTGGATAGCGGAGGCCCCCATTTAGGTAAGTTTAGGCTGGTTATGTCATGTTGTGTTAGGTTCTGTGCATTGTCATTTCCAGTTTCTTGTACAAACCCAAACCAACAAAGCCTAACTTAACCTAACCAAACCTAACTATTATATAAACATTTAAAAAAGATTAAAGCTGTATTTAAGAACAAGTGTCCGGGTTAAGGAGCTGATTTAGGAAATTTTTAAATAAAATAAAAGTTGTTGTTTATCATCTTACGATTGGTAGTTGTTTTGAGTCAACATTAATGTACAGTATTTTTAATACGGGTTTAGGGGCAGGATGATAAACTACTCCGTCGTAATTAGATTTGGTGCTCTTTTTGTAAATGATTTTCTGAAAATTTCTTGTGACTCAGCATTTAAGTGATAATATAATTTATTCTACTTAGATAATAAAAACTATTGTAACCAAATTAAATTTTAATGTAATATAATTTACAGAAGTTACATACAGTACAAGTTGTAGTACTGTATACTGTACTATAACAATAATACTAATAATAGCTGGTCTTTTGTTTCTCAAAAGACTTAGTTCTTTTAAAGAATTCACTCTCCCAAAGAAGTTAATTAACAAGACACAAACCCTTAACCAAACTTAAAATTACTGATAACAAGTAACAATAAGACCGTAAGTGACACGGGACTGAATTTAAAGACAAAAATTTTTTTTTTAACATATAACACTCACAAACAACACCACAAGAACACTCTTAAAGCACACCAACTTGAGTAATCACAAAGTATATGATTAAGGTATAATACACAGAAACTGACAAAATTCCGGTGAATTGTTCACAATTACAGCATAGAACTCCTTCCCGATGTTCAGTGGACTGGTGAAGACAGTATGCCAGCCAGGGGTTGATCTCAGCTGAGGGATATAGATTAGACAAGGGTCAATGAACCGACCAGACTGACACGTCAAAGTCAACTGCCTGATTGTTGGTCCACGTCCCTTATGCAGTAACCCAGCTGCTCCCTGTCCAGGGGGGTTTTCCCCACCAATTGCCCCCATACAATGGAGGGTAGCAGTGTTGGTCATGGTGTGTCAAATCAATACAGTATTTAAGTGACTGACAGGAGTGTCAGAACTTGTAGAACCTCCAAAAGTTATACCTGTCAGAACTACTGTAACTCATAAAAGCTGTAAGTACCATACCTTCCAAACCTACTCTCTGCTGGCCAGTATTGTAAGGTTATCTGACAGCCAGATACTGTAATAGAGTATTTGAAGTAACACATTGGAGAGCTACTGTAGAGAATAGTTTTGAGGAGTTTTGGAAAACAGTTGTGATGATTTTAGAAATTGAGGTTCACAAATTTCATATCGGAGCATAAAAATTGAGTTGTGGAGTGTTGTTGATGACAAACCACATTTCAGTGAATTATTCTTGAGTTGTGAAAGAGTGGATTGATTGAGAAGTCTGGTAATTGAGACAGTTCCAGGTTTCCTTGCTGCAGCCGGGGATGTGACACCATACCTCTTACTTTGCTTTCAGTCATCATAATAAAAAAGTACTTACCCTATTTTGTTATCTGCTTTTCAACTTCAGATTAAGAAAGACACCTTCAAAAAGTATATGGGTAGCATATCTTCTGTGGTTTGTTGGTGGCTGGTTTGGTCTACACTTACTGTACCTGAGGCGGGATCGTCAGGTGAGTGTGTGTACTGTACCTGTTATAATATGATACAACCTTTCTTATCACTTATTGTTATGGCTGCTTTCTTATCCTAGAAGAACAATCAGATTTAATTTTTATTCTCAACTTTGATCTCATATGTCATTCATTACATAGAGAAGAAATGCTAATATTGTATCAGTTAATGCCCCACTTGGTTAGTTATTCAGGAGTGGGTTCAGAAAATTCTGAGAATGGGCGGGGTCGCCTTTGGCAGATGCTGAAGAAAAGACAGGTGGTGTAGGGGGGTAATGGCCCATCTCACAGGAATTTGAAAAAAGAAAAGGTTAGAATAGTGCACTCTATGATTAGACTTTGCCTTACCAATACAGTACAGTACAGGTAATTAGGTTTTTACTCTGTTGCTTGTGAAGTTTACAAGCAACATTATTTGGAAATTAAGAATGTTTATACAGTAGTTATCACAAGCAATTTTACAGTTGTGATAACCAAAAATGAATTGGAATTATACGTAACAGCATTTTGATTTTATAGGTATAGTACTGTATTCAATTTTAGAACACTTGTTTATATTTATATTATTTTACCTTATTTCTCATAGGTCATAGGAGTTGGTAACTGTCGGAAATTCTTTTTCAGAGTTAGTAACACTGTTCATAGTGTCAGCTGTTGTGGTGGTCAAGATGCAGTGTGTGAATCCAGTGTCTTGCTACATTATGCCTAGGATTATACCGAGTATTTCTCAAAAGATAGGGTCAATTATACAGGATAATGCAGTATATGATAAACTCGGGTATATTTATTAAAAAAAATCACGGGTAAAATTATATATGAGATCGGTTTATACAAGAATATATATGGTAATGTTATAATCAAATGAAGTGAGGGCCTACTGGTAATGTGTTTCTGAATATGACAGAGAAGTGATTGATAACAAAGAATAAAGAAAGCTGTGGTAGCCCCTTTTGACTACTGTATTTAAACAACCATTATCAGTCATATATCTGTACAGTACAACTTATATTTGAAACCTCCCAGTGTGACTTGAGTTAATGATGGTAATTGTTAACTTGTTCCATTCATCCACAATTCTTTATTTCATAACCTAACTTAAAGCCATTGTTATGTGTTCACTCCTGTTTTGATGAATAACCTAATCACCTCTTCCGTTCATACACTTTGGTCATGGTGCCCCTTGCTTTACATTTCTCAAAACAATGAAAATTCACTTTTCTTAATCTTTTTCTCCCTGGAAAATTACTAATACCCAGGATAAATTAGTATGGATCACCGTGGTCTGTGTAACATTTGACCCAATAGCTCTCATAACTGGTTTCTTAATCATCTTTTAAGGGCTAGAGTTGCTTATGGAAGAGAAAGCAATCTTTGGTTTACTGTCCCTGCTGCCACATAGGCCAGGATTACCTAGGATCCTAATTAGACCCTAAGCCTTTGGTGACTTTCACATAAGTTGCTGTACATATTGTATTCAGTTGTGATTGTGAACTGGGATTTCAGAATCATTTCCACATATCTTTTAGCCATTATAGATTTTAAATTGCGTATTTTTTCAGGCATTCATCTTGTTTACTACCATTGGAGGTTACCTTGGTTGTGGACTCATGCGGGATTTTATCCGTATACCAGCTTACGTGAGAGATATTAATGCAAGTGATGATTATATAGCTGAATTAACACAAAAGATGAAGAAGCATCGAAAGGTAAGTCTACGTTATTAGATTTTTCCACTCTGAAGCAACCCCCCCGCCAACATCTATAATGGAGAGTGGCTACAATCAAAAGATAATGCCTGTACGGGCAGTCTCTGAGTTACAAGTATCCAACTTATGATCACCCGTAATTACGAACGAGATCCCAATGCATTTATCGCAAAAAATTTAAATTAAAATTCCCTTTTTTTACTTTATTTTCATTATTCTATACTGTTTAACATCACTTTATTTACACTATTGGCTATGTATGGGATATTATTGTTGTTTTGTGTGGGCAAGGTTGTGGAATTAACACTGTTCTGACTTATGAGCAAATCGACTTACGATCAGGGTCCAGGAACCCATCCCTGTCGTAAGTCGGAGGCTGCCTGTGCACACTCATGTTCTTCCCACATTTATTGTCATTCATCCACTCTTACTACCGTAATCAGTCGGTTTTGATGTGATGATCCCATTCCACAACAAAACCTTAATTATTCATCTGGTTTTCTCAGGTCAAACTCACACAGTGTAGTATTGCGGTCCAGGGTTGGCATGATTAGACTCAAACAATTTTAATCAAGTAATTTTAATTGATTATAGCCAGAGAGAAAATCATTGATCATAGTCAAAATTAATTTTCACTATTTTGTGTTCTCTCTATCACTATTTATCATCTAATAGTTTGTGTTCTCTCTATCACTATTTATCATCTAATAGTTTGTGTTCTCTCTATCACTATTTATCATGTAAAACTCTATAATAACATACAGATAGATGACTTAGTCTCAACACATGTTATTGTTTATGTTCATATATGACTGATCAAGTTATTTCTGTACTCAGCCACCATTATTACCTCACTAAATTAGGTGTATTTAAGTAGTTACTGTGGCTTTACTAATGCTTCTTTTTAACATAACTACTAGTCGATAACTGTTCCCAGAGCCTCATCACCCAGTGAGGAGTAGCAGCTGGGTAAATTTACTGGTTTTGTCCTGGGCTGTGTTCATGTATGACTTGGAAGATATTACTACTTACATGCTCAGTCTACGTAATTATATACCTCACTGGATTAAGTGGTTACTATGAACTTTACTAATGCTTTTGTCTTCTATACGTTCTACTATGTGACCTATACTGTATGATCAAAGTACTGTATATTATTATTTATTTTATATAAATATAGAAGCATTTATTTCCTAATTCTGGAAATCATAAGTATTATTTTCTTATTAATATATTATGGTCATACAGATACGTATAACTAATTTGGATTGAATGTGTATTTCCTAATGATGTTACAGTATATGTAGGTTCCTGGATCTCAGAGCATTTTTCAACAATCATGTTTATTATTTTCAAGAAGGTCATGTTTCTTTTATTTAAGGAAAATTCTTTTCAGTAACAGTATAGTTAAAAGAAATTTGATTAAATTTCATTATTATAAACAAATTCAATAAATGGTAAGTTGTTAATCAAGTGTAAAATAACATTTCAAAAAGATAGTTGAGCCAAACTATATCCACAGTAAAAAAAAAGAAGTATTTTTCATATACAGCCTGCCCTGACAATTTGCGGATGACACCCTGGATGTACCCAAGAATGTCTGTGGGTAGTTTTAAAGTTGCCGGCATTTTTGCGGCTGGGACTGGGAGCCATTCGTTCTTGAGACAATATGTGTGTGTGTGTGTACACACTCAGACAAATATAATCTCTTCAATAGCATTTCTTATTCAGAACTTCTCTTAGCTTAATTTTAAGGTATTTGGCTGTAAAAACAAATAAGAAGATGTATTACATGAAGTTGAAATTTTGCATTGGCAGAGATAGGTTACAGCTCTCATGGTTAATATGTGGCATGTTTATATCATCAATTAATTAATTAATTTTCAATACAAAGTACATCAGTTATAATTCTTTGTGACATGTGCATTATCATTTAATAAATTTTCTGTTAATTGGGTGTATAATTATGTGATTAAACAACATAGCATACAATTTTCTAAGTTGAAGTTTGATATACAGTTACTGTAATATTTTTTATAAACACCACTGACGAGAAAGCTGCCTCGCAGACACAGGTAGTTCCAAATTGTACCAGAACCTCAAGAGCTCGGTTTTTAACCACTGAATGTCTCTTTGATAAAGTAATTCAAAACTGTATCAGCATATAGATGTAAAAACTCACTCTTGCCTCATTGTCAGCCGGTAAGCAACTCGAGGAATCTTATCATTTAAATTTGCTGCCATTTTCTGTCTGCATCCGTGGGAAGTAGAGTAACTGAGCTGATCACAGTTCAATGGTAGGAGTGTGGAACTTGTGCTGTGAAACCTGTCATGAGGGGAAGCCGGACCTGGCAAAAGGAGAGTAACTGTGTTAATCCCTAGATCATAATTTATGTTCGTGACTTAACAAAACAGCACCTGTTGGCCACATCCTTCAGCCCTTGACACCTGGGCTAAAAAAATCACATGTGATTGCTGCAAGACCCAGGTAACTCCAGCAATCCTATTACCCTTATGCGACCCCATGACCTCTGTGCAACCCTTTATGATGTATCTTGTGGGGGTCATGACCCTGTGTTTGGGAACTTCTGGGCTATTTAACTGACTTATATATGGGGAGAGTGTTGTCCATTATATCAAGGTTTGCTAGATGTGGAACCTCTATATAGCATACTGTAGGGGAGAGTGCAGTACCTTATATCGAGGTTCATTAAATGTGAATCCTCCATAAAACGGGCTATACCTGTTAGATTGGTGTTCGTTAAATGGAAGTTTTATTTTACAGGGGTACATGTCAGAATATGAATGATCCCCTTTATATTGTTGAGACAAATAAAGCCCTTTCCCCCCCAAAGAGCCAATATTCCAGTTAGGCAATTGTCAAACTATGCTATTCATTAATCATTATCTCTTGGTTGTAATAACAGAAAGCAATTATTTTATTGAAGCACTGTACTTATCCACATATAAACTTCTTCACAAATGTATCCAGTGTTATTTGAATTTTTTTAACATTTAATTATATGTAGGTTGTCAGGAGATGATGATATTTGGGAAACTTTACATGTGGCCACTCTTAAAATCCCAGAAGAAACAAGACTGAGAGAAAGACTAAATTAATGTTACTTTCAGCTTTTTAGGCCAGTCACAGCAATAGGTACGGCCATTGGAGAAATATCATATATATCCAAAAATTATTTCTAGGGATGAATATTAATAGAATGGCTGTACAGTAGTTGAGGAGTTAAATGACAAAACATTGAAATATGGTGTGGTGTAGAGCTTGGTGTCCATGTTCTGTCCTGATCATCATAAATTATCCAGCAAAAGAGTCTAGTAAAGCAATTTTTTTTCTATGACAGCCGCCCTTCAGTCTGATACGGTTCGTTAGTCAAATCTTGGTGGGGAACAGCTGGAGCATCCTCATGATTGCTGCTGTGCCTACAGAAGAAGTGTTTGGCCTAAGCTGGACATCACTTACACTTCTTTCACCCATAGGGACAGCTATTGGTAAGGAAATATGTATACTGTACATTGCATAAACAGTAGAATGTCAACAGTGTGGACTAAACAGTAAAAGATGGACTTAAAAATGTGATAGTGTATTCCAAAGTTCTGAGTAATTTCCCCCTAGGTACTAAATACTTGCTGTGTATACTGTTTTTCTTTTTTTATTTTATGAGCATTTAAAGTGCTGTGGTGTACACTGTACACTCAGCCTTTCTTGATTAAATATACAGTAATATCTCCTTTAGCCGGAATCCCTCAAACCTGGAACTCTCCGATAGCCGGAATTAAAATTTTCTGAGGGGCTCATTTTTCGGAAAATTCCGGAAAAAATTTCCCGATACCCGGAAAATCCCGGGGATGAGATATTTTTTAACGGCTTTGAGAGAGTCAACTCATTACCCGGAAATCCCTCATCCCCGGAAGTGCTCTGCAACAATTGTTCCGGCTAACAGAGATATCACTGTATTTGTATCTAAGATCATCATCATTATGATTTATGGCCATTTTCCATGATAGTGTAGGTTAGCAGTGATTGCCTATGACATGGTGTCCCAGTTACCATCAGTCAAGTTTGAAGCAACTTTTATGACTCAGTGTCCTTCCTATCACCAACCCACATTTACAGAGTAAAAACTGTGCCTTATATGTAGGACTTCCATGAGCTCTCTTATCTTGAGGTAATTAAAGATTATCTGCCTATCTCCCAAAACTCTTCATTCAGGTTCTTTAATGTAAAGACTTTATCCCACAAATCATACTTCCCTGAACCCATGCTGCTGTTCCCTCAGTTTGCTCTGTTTTTACACATCTCCTCTCTCAGTAATTACTCTACCATCTACTTTCTCTGGTATGCTTAACACTTATTCCTTTGTACTCTATAATAATAATAATTGATATAAGGAAATTTGATCAAGGATAGCTGACAAATTAATGAGATGCTTATTTCCAGTCGGGTCCTTTAGTTTAACCCATTCGCTGCCATTTCCCACACTTACCATATTATTCTGACTGCCGCCAGACGATTTTATTCAGCTTAGGGTAACCTCCCGCAGTCAAAGGGTTAAGTGCCAACAGCATCTGGTGTTCCTAGGCGGTCACCTAACCCAGTACTAACCAGGCCCAATGTTATTTAACTTTGCTCATTGCACAAGAAACAGTACTGTACTGTATTTTCAACTTTGTGTGGCCATCTTGTATAGGTTATACTCCTTTGGTGATTTGATCCACTTCTGGATCCTTACCATTCTTAAGCTTGATTATTGCCTGTCTTCATTCATGTCCCAGTGATATAGTTCTGTCTTGCTTTCAACTTTTACTTAATGGCAGGTACTGATTATAATCGTTTATTATCTTTATCTTCATTCTATTTTCTTGTTTTTCCTTGGAAGAGTCCCCACTTTGTCTTCAAATCCATGTATCTCATATGTTGTGCATGGGCCATAACTTCTGAAAACAAGTGGGTGAAATTCACTTGTTGTATACTATATATACTTGGTGGAGGGTCTCAGAATTTCAGGTCACAGATAATATTCATATATCTGCAACTTTGTCGGGTAGCATCAGTACGTTTGTTTCACCGGCCACTTGTTTTTATTTTTATCTTCCTTTGCTTTCCTTTTTATTCCAGTGTATACAGGTACTCTACATTACAGTACAGTATTTTATTTTTAAACATGAACTTTACAATCTGAGTTTTGTTTGTACTTGTCAGGTGTGTGGACAATTGGCAATATTGGTCGTGAACAAGGACAGCTAAAGTGGGCTATGATTGGAGCTTATATTGTGCTTCCTTTCTCATTTTTCCATCCACCATTGGCTAACTGGAGTGCAATTTCTTGTGCTTTGCTCTTTACTTCAAGGGGGAAAGAATGGCGAAGAACTCCATATCCCGACTCTCCGTTTTGCAAGTAAGTCAGCGATTTCTTTCATTGTTAATACGTATAATTACTTCACCAATTCATACTAATTCAGCCCAGGGGTATTCTGAATAAATAAAAAGTCCAGTTCAGAGCAAAATATTTTAAAATTAAGCTATTTTTCTTTTAGCATCTCACTCATGGGTTCTTGTGCTTTACAAGATAATAGTTGCCCTGTTGGACATATGCTGTACTTATGCTAGAAACCTGGCATAGTCTGGTCAAAAGCCTGATTGAGTTAGGCTGAGAACCTGTTATAGTCAGACCAAGAACCTGTTATAGTACATTTATGTTCGAACCTTTTAATGTTAGGTTTAGAACCAGTAGAAATCCTGCCAAGAATTTATTGTTGTTAGGCTGAGAATCTGTTTTGTACAGTACTGTGCATAGCAGAGTGGACAGTGTAAGCTTACTGTTGGCTAGTGTGTAGAGGGTGTATGTACTGTACAGTATACAGTGCATGTACACTTCCTCCTTCATGGAGGGAGAGGAGAGTGACAGTTAGTAACACCTGCTACAGGAGATGGTACAGAATAAAGGCAGGCCATTCTGAATCATCATATCACCATTTGTCCTGTCTTCATCACAAACATCTGTTGGTGAGTACAGGATGGTGTATACAGTAGTATGCAATATTTGTTTATTTACAATATATTGTACTTGTACAGCAGTGTTTGCATACATAAATACAGCTCTGTCTGTCCATGCTAGGTGCGTGGTTTAGAATCTCGGAAACGTTTCCCCAGTACCCGGGGAAGTGGGATTATTTTCAGGATGAGAAAATTCATATCCATACCTGGAAATATCTCAATCCTGGAACCATTCTAAACCAATTATTTCAGCTAACAGGGATATCATATTTGCATATTTATTCTGTACCCAATTTTGTAATAGTAAAGTACCTGTATAAAGTTTTGTGGTTTTCTTCAGTTTAATCTTCAATTTCAGTAGTTTCCTTGACATATTTATAAAAGATAATATTTTTTTTATTTACAGTATTAATTAATTTTTATTTTTACAGGCGGTTCATGACTTTGATGATGTGTGTTGTGGTCTTCAACAGTTTCTGGGGCTCAGCCTTATATTTCAATGCAACAGTGACTGATAGTCAAGGAGAACGCATTAAGCTGCGAGATGCTGCCAAGAACTTTCTCAACTCTCCCATGTTCCTTGAATTTAAAGAGAATCTCAAAGTGATCTTTAATGATGCTCGGGAAAATGGATGGACGAACGCATGGACCAATTTCGTGGAGTTGCTCGATCCACTCGGGGAAGGACATGCCTTGAAGGTAACTTACTGTCACTGTTAACTCTCTCTGGATTGTAGTATTTGCCCTTCAAAATTTTCACATGGAATCTTAAAATATATAAAACATAAATCTTAAATGCACAGATCAATTGTGTCCGTCTAAATGGTGTCAGTGGCGGTAACACTTGTCATGTGATGTTATAACTCCTGTCACCTCACCTCACGTCTGCAGGGTGTGACCACCTATCCTAACTACCACACCTCCAGTAATTGGGTGTCAGTGGCGGTAACACTTGTCATGTGATGTCGTAATGCCTGTCACCTCACGTCAACAGCCTCTCAGCTTGGTGGTCCCTGGAAGGTTGACAATTTGACACTGACTGACTAGCTGGTGGCTTAATGTGGAGGTGAGGTAGGGGTCACTCAGCACCTGACAAATTCCTGTCTAGGTACTGTATTTCCTTTCAAAATATAAACTTGTCCTCTGGGCAAGTGCTGGGCACATGGTCATGAAAAATCACTTGCCTGGCCCCTAGTCCGGGCATGTCTGGACTGTCAGGCACTGCTAATCTGCACATCTTGGTTCAGGACATGGGAAACATTCCTCCCACACTCATACTTATCGCAGAACTGGTGGTATGCACACTCACGGCCTTGAAATTTTACTGGGCCCTCTGTCATCTATAATATATACTGTACTGTATTGCCTTGTGAAAGAAGGTGCAGGCAAGCTGTTGGTGTCCAAATTTGAACCAAATCAACCAAAAAGTTAATTTCTACTGTTTTTTACCAGTTGGATGCCACTACAGGATCCTCTGGTCCCAAGAGTGTTTCTTGACAGTGGGGAAGAGTCTTAAAGAGACACCTGGGAAGGGTCTTGAGAAATTTTCCTATAAAATTAATAATGCATTGTAATAAAAAAAAATTCACGTATGTTTATTTTTTCCCATCAATTTGAAACATGGTGAGGGTATGGAAATCATGTTTTTGCTTATGTTTGTCACTGGAAATTATTCAGGAGTATCTCTGTAGCAGCTAAAACTAAAAGTAGCTATTGAATTTGTTTTGTGCTTTCATTGTTGTGAAGACTGTTGCTTTCCCAGGATTGTAGTTGGTTTAATATACTATATAGGAGTTGAGAATAAAGAACTGAAGAGCTGTGCCAGGTGTAACACGTTCACCTTTTATTTGGGAGATTGCTGTTCCAGCTGCTGTTGTTTAATTATAGACAATAATTCAAATTTGTTACACTGATGTACCAATAATTTATTCCATCTAACTTTTATAACTGGCACAGTAGATCTTCCCCACTCATGTAATGTGTCACCAAATTGATTCCTAGGACTCCTCCACTTGTATAACTGAATTTTAATGATAGAAATCCAGTAAAAACCAGGAAACTCAACTGCAGCCCTTAAGGGGTCAGTAACACAGATCCTTCCATTCTATCTTTGGTTGTTGAAGATGAGCTGAAGGGTGGTTGAGAGTGTTACCCATTTTCTAGCTTGTTTCTAGCTCGTTTGGTATGTAGAACACAAGCACAAAGGTGTGGCATTGGGAGACTCCAAACTATTAACCTTGAACAGTTGAGTCAATAGTGGGAGCCCCTTTTTTAGGGGTTTTCAGTTTAGATGGCATATATGTGATCTCTGGTTTCCTGGTTTTTATTAGATTCTGGTGTATTATAGTCCCAGTCACATCAACAAGAGTGCCATTCTACAAGATTAGTGATATAGTACAGGAGTTGTGCAATCAATGTTTTGTTATAAAATGTGATACCAGGATCTTTTCCATATTTCTTACAATATATACATTCTGCAGGTTTTAGGTCTAACGTCAGGAGCTACTCAGGATGAAATTTCATCTGCCTACAGGAAGCTGGCAAAAGAATGGCACCCAGATCGGTAAGTTATCATTAAATGCATATAGTAAACACTGTTATATGGCACATTTGGATGATTGGTGGTGCTAGATTTCTAAGATTTCAAGTTTCTAAGGGGAATGATTTTTGAGATTCTTTGATAATACAGTACAGAAAACAATAGATATTACAATATTATCACTACAGTAAAATAAGAAATGCTGTTTAAATCAAAGAAATTATACAGCATGAAAAGTGCATAAAACTTTTGTAACTTTGCCTAGTCACTTTCATATGTAAAGTTCCTATAGCTGCATATGACATGCTTTCTCTTACCCCTGGCATTCTTCTTTGGCATTGTTGGAGACATTTTGAGAGTAATGTACAGGTACAGACCCTTGAAACTATATATGGCTACCGGTATGTCAACTTTTGCTCCCTCACACAAACTCAGTTGAATGTTTGTATTACTTTGTGAATAACAAAATAAAGACAATATCCATTCTTTAGATATAAAAAGTACAGAGTGACTCCCCAAATTCATGGGGGTTTAGGTTCTCAAAATGGCCGTGAATCGCTAAATCCGTGAAAAACTTTTGCAGACCGAGGGGGTACATGTGTTCAAAGAAATGGGTATTCCCTTTACGTGTTTGCCCTTAGGACGATTATTTCTTTTACCTGCCTGTATTGTATGTACTGTATATGTGTGTGTGTGTGTTTGTGTGTAGACACACACATACATATTTACAATACAGGTAAAGAAAATTACTGTCTCTAGAACGAATGGCTCCCTGTCCCAGCCGCGAAAATGACGGCAACTTTAAAACTACCCACAGACATTTGGGTACATCCAGGGTGTCATCCGTGAATAATAGAGGACCGCGAAATAAAAATCTGCGAACTTGAGGGGCCCCCTGAAGATGTACCATATTTTCCGCTTTATTCAACAAACTTATTTTCCACCAAAAGTCTGCAAAGTCTTACATATTGAAGGTTGATGAAAGCCGTGATTAAAACCAAGATAGTAATATTTAACCCTTACGCCCTGGGTGACTCTCCAGAATGCCTGACTGGCGGGCCCCGGGTGACGTTCCAGAACGTGCGCCTTTTCCCGCCACTGTTTAAATGCCCAGCACGGGTTATCATGTTCCACTGTGACTATTTGCCTGTCACGCCACACACTTGCCCACAGGGAAACTTCCTGAACATAATTGCCTACTTATGTTTTTTTTTTTCATTTTCATTGTTTGTCCATTTTATCATGTTGTATCAAAGTAATACAGTATTGCTAAAAGTAGTATAGTTGTATTGTAGTGTAGTATTACTGGAAAATAATGTTATGATTATATTATAAATGTATTTATTTGTGGAATTATTATTCCAATAATTATTTCTATGCACTACTTGCTCTACCAAACACAAAGACAGCCTGGCGACAGACTGCGTGTGTGTCGCCGAGCTGTTTTTATGAAAAATAATGCAAATAAAATAAATTCTAAATGAATTATTTATTGGAAATGAGTACTGTATTATAATCAGTTAATATATGCAATACTGGCAATCCCAGAGACAAAGGCAAGCCCAAAATAGTTGCTAAGTGCATAGTTGACCACGAGTGCTGGCCGTTAACAAGCTGTCCCCTTATCTCCCTTCCCCCTCCCTCCCTCTGTGCTGCCAGGGAAGTTTCTAGAGGGTCAATATATAGTTTTTCTTACTTTTAATTTTTTTATCATTTAAAAAAGGTAAAAATTTTGGGGGGGAAAAGTTGATTTCTCTCGATTTACCTGGGTGGGGAAGTATGACACCCTGACCCGGGGCTTAAGGGTTAACCCTTGAACCCCGGATGAAGCTCCTCTACATTCTTAATTTTTGCTGTATATTTTGAATGTCCAGGCTGGACGAAATAATTTATACAGTATTAGATATTTGTTTAATTGGCACCTCGGCTCACACGTACAGTAGTCTCTGTCTCAAGACTCGTGCTTCGCGATCAGTCACCCGTCCAGCTATCGTGATGGATGCACGTCCTTTGACCTCTGTTAAGTAATTTATTGATTCCATATTTGTTAGTATGATAAACAATAAAATCAATACATAGCATATCATATACTGTAATACAATAGAACATATCTTATTTAAAAAAATAGCTCCTTCCACACTTAAACCATTCTCTAATTGAAGAAAACAGTTCAGGCAGTCAAGCAATTGATTCACAGATTTGTGGCTACTGCGCTAGCTGTGTCGGGAGGGATCACAGCCCAGGAACCCACTGCCTCAACACACACTCGCTTCCCACTTACTGTACAGTATACACACCGATGCTCTTCATTTATTTTATTTTACAGTTTTTTATTTTCTATATTTCTAAGCCACATTAGAGTAGTTATGATTTTTCCACAACTTTAATAGTTTCAATACAAGTACTGTAACTATATACGAGGCTGCTGATGAGTCCGCCAGGTAGTTTATAACCAAGGGCTTGGCTATAACCACCACCACACATGCTTACCTCTCACACATACACACCCATACTCTTTATTTTCTTGATTTATATCGCATTTTATTTATTTCTAAACCACATAAAAGTATTGTAATGTTTTTCCACAACTTTTATTGTTTCTTTACAAGTAACAATAAATGCAGCGACTGGGATAACCAGTCAGCCATGCAGCTATTAGCCCACCACTTTCACACACATTCACTTTCCACTTATACCATATTTTTCGGCTTGGAAGACGCACATTTTATTACAAGAATATACCTTGAAAATTACCATGCGTCTTCCAGGACGCTAGTTGATTAGTTGTAGCAGAAGTTTTCTTAGGGTCAACTGAAATCAGCCCCTTACAAAGACTGTTACCTCATTACAGTACTTAACAATTAAAAGTATTCTCTATACAGTACTATAAAACAATTGATTTAACTAATATTGTTGATGTACTGCGAAAAATACGATTATTTACTTACTCAGTAGGTAAAAAATAAACGGCTGCAGTTACACAACCCTTGCTGCTGTGCGGTTTGTTTGCTAATGGCAGTGGTGCGGCAGCGCCATCTATTGAGGGATTGCGAAAGGTTGTCTGCTGGTCTCAAAGTGCAGGAATTTTTGTTTCTTCACACCAAAAATTTTAATTCAACTAATTTTTACTTTCAATTTTTTGTTTTTAAATAAATATTTTTTGTTTTCTTTAGACGTTGATATACATGTATACATTTGCTTACCTTCTACTGTTGGAAAATATTTCATGTCGTTCTCATCCCGATAAAAACAAGAGAAAGAATGTAAACACTACAGCCCGCTTGACACGGAGGTGACCAGATGTAGAAAATGAGTGCTGTATTAAAGATTTCACCTTCTTATACAGATTTTTTTTTAATTGATGAAAATGACGACTGATAAGCAGTTCTAAGTAATGATATTCAAAGAGGTGTGTGTACTTGTGCCAAAAGGGCTGTAGACGGTTTCACTGGTGTCGGTTAGTAAGTACAAAAAGGGTTTTCCTAGAATTACATTTCCAAAATCAGGGTGCGTCTTCCACGATGCAGCGTCTTCCAAGCTGAAAATTACGGTACACATCATGCTCAATCTTTTTGCATGGGTGGGCCACATTAGATGGGCAACTGTGTGATGAGGGCCGCACATTGACGTTAAGGTGAATAAGCGTAGTAAATAATATAAACATTAATAACATTGATTATTAAGTATTAACCATGTACAGTAGTACCCCTTGAACCCACAGGGTACCGCGGAAAGTGAAAACCGCGTAAAGTGAACAACAGAACATATGGGAATAATTCCAATAGAGACTGGCCCGACCCCCAAACTCCACTTTTTCCGACACAATACCTATGTTGTAGTAAAAATAACATCTAAATTTTATGATGGTATGCTCACACAATTAATATTTAAGAGAAATACAGTTGCCAGGTTAATGTCCATTCAAATAATGGACTCAAATCCCCCCCCCCCTCTTCCCAGCTCACTAGCTCCTACCTCTCTGAGAAATGTTTGGGTGAAACACTAGATTTTAACGTTTAGTAATAAATAATACCTCAGACTAAAGTTAGGATAATATAATTGACATTTCTGGATTCCTTGCAGGTCAGGGAATATTTTGAATGTAAACTTCATATATTTTGCACAAAAGATAAAATATTTGCTTTGTGTAAACCAAATTATTACATTAGATCTAAAATTTGTATGTCTAATGCAAAATCCATGATGTTTATATTCAAAATGATCATCATATTGTAAGAATTCCAGCAATGTAAATTATATTCTGGCCGGGTAATTTGTATGAATTTTATGAGCTAAAACATATATCTTCAGTAAATAAACAAAGAAATATTCTTCAAGGACACTATCTGTCAATCAAAATACTCCGCCCTAGCTGGGTCGGTCCCTCCCTCCCTACCAGAGAAGCTTTGGGAGAAAATAGTATATTTACATTTTTAGTAATAAATAATAACTCAGACTAAAGTTAGGATAATATAATTGACATTTCTGGATTCCTTGCAGGTCAGGGAATATTTTGAATGTAAACTTCATATATTCTGCACAAAGGATAAAATATTTGCTTTGTGTAAACCAAATTATTACATTACAGTAGATCTAAAATTTGTATGTCTAATGCAAAATCCATGATGTTTATATTCAAAATGATCATCATATTGTAAGAATTCCAGCAATGTAAATTATATTCTGGTCGAGTAATTTGTATGAATTTTATGAGCTAAATAAAAAAAATAAAAACAATTATACTTCACTGCGTATATGAGTAGATGCACCGCGGAAAGTGAAAGTCCAGTGAAAGTCCGGTTCTGGCAAGGTACCACGTAAATGAGAAATCATGAGAAATCGGGGAAAGTGAAACCGTGTAAAGCGGGGTAATACTGTATTGTAAACTTAAAGAAGGAATCTTAATCAGAACACCTTTTACAGAATGGTATTTGTTTATGTATTATATTTCTATAAAGTATGGAGTACAGTAATATTAATTATACAGTGAACCTTCGAAAATCCAGACTAAAAAGGGGGGGGGGGACCACTTGTCCAGAAAAGCCGATTGTCCGGATTTTCCGGCGAATAATAAATGATATAAGAAACACCAAAAATACAGTACTATTGTAGTGCTAAACAAATTACCGTATGTAAACCATGTATTTACCTATGATAACATACTGTAATAAGAAACATTGTATCATTACTAGAGTGAATGAAATAATATTCCCACAAGCTACAATTGTCAACTCTGTTTATGTTTCCCACCTCCTCGGGCACCTGTGTCCAAGCAACTGATGGGTCAAGCAGCGCCCACGGGCCTAAAATGTTCTTTGCTCTGGTTTGGGAATGTTTCTTGGGGAAACTTCTAGGAGGCTTCTTAGCCCGGAACCCTCTAATTTTTTGTCCGGTTCTTCCGAAATCTGGATTTCCCGGGTCCGGATTTTCGAGGGTTTACTTCTATTAATTGTCGAGGGCTGCATTAAATCCCTCTGAGGGGCACATGTGGTTCTCAAACAGTGGGTTGAGCATCCCGCGTGGGTCGCACGCATTACGCCATTCCGAGATTGCGTCATATCTCGGAATATTGTGAGTTATTGCACATCACATTTTCATAGCAGTGACAATGCAGGAAAAGGATTCAGGTAGCGACCGGCGTAAAACTGGTCGATCCTATATAGATTTATCATATAACAGTCATCATCTGTACTATACTAGACCTCAATTTGGGGAAATAATGTTAATTTCCTTGGGAATTAATAATTCAAAATGAATCAGCATTACTCTCGTACACCAGAAAATTTGATAAGGTTGTCAGCTTCCAAATACTGAGACAAAATTTATTTTACCAGAATGGATATTCTACAACTGTTAATTGAATTGGAAGTGGCTACTTAGATGGGAATTCTCAGCTTGGCAGACGTGTCCAGCTATAAGAGTCGTTACATTTGGTTCCTTAGGTTCTTTTGGTATTCCTTTTTTGTTGTGTTCTCTTCCTAATGTTGCTTGTTAACCTGCGCACCCCTTCCAAAGGTTAATAAGGAAGTTTTTTTTTTAAGTTTTTGATAATCATTGGATTAGGATGAACTCGAGGTTCTTCTTGTGTAGAATTAATTTTAAATTGATTTTCTTCTATGGTAATTCTTGTGCAGAGTGATATTAATGGAGAAATGAGCATACCAATAATAAAAACACTGCCCTTATTTACATGTTGGCAGCCATGGAGCAATTCATATGGTTTGAGCAATCTAGAATACATAATACACCGACAGTATAGACATTCCTTGTGGTAGTGATAGCTTATAGGGATACTCTATGCTTCACAATCTTCAATATGGCCCTTAGTCACAAGGGTCCCAGATTTGAGGGTGTAAACCTGTTCATATTATTAAGATTAAAGGAACGAACCTGAGGAAATATGTGGGGCTTTGAGAGTAAACTATCTTAGGAAGCATGTGGGAGCTATGATAACTTGTAAACATTAGTGGCATTTCACTCAGTGTGCACAAGTTTGAAATTCCAGAGCCTGGCCAGTTTCCTAAGGGATAATATGGGATGAGGAATTAGGTGTTTACCATTTTCTCAAGGATTTTGGTATCTCTTGTACCAGATAACAGACAATTTGCCATACAGTATTTAATATTTTATGGAGGAAATTATGTTTAATATCAGTTGATAAAACTTTGAACTTCCAGTTCATGACCACTGTCTAGAGTTCATTCTCTTAGGCATGGTTAGAGGGTTGTATATAGTATATGTGTGTGGTATGCATTTAAAATGTGATGCCTTTTTTTATTGTTTTTAAGAAGTAATTAACTTTAATTCTTGTTTCATATAATCTGTTTGTACATCTTTGTTCCTTTACATGAAAATTTGTGTGCTGTAACATTTCTTCCTTAGTAAAGCTCATGCAAATTTATCTTGTCAAGAAACTAGTCTCATACATCATTGTGCACTCATTTTCTCCTCACTACCTTCAATCTTGTTCAGTACCTCTCCCCACACACCTCACTCAGTCTCACTTAGATACTTCCAGCCTTGTTCAATATCTCCTCCCAAACTTATCTTTCATCATTTTCTTGATACCATCTATCATGTTTAGTATATCCTCCCATACACTTCACCCACTCTTTATTTTAATTGATACCCTCTTGTGTAGAATTCACTTTACTGTATATCAGGCAAATTTTTGGGGGCATTACACACAATTACATGTGTTTGCTTGATATATTTGTTTTAATCCATTTGACAGGCACTCATTTGAAAACAAGGATGAAGCTCATAAAAGATTTATGGAGATCCAGGAAGCCTATGAGAAACTCTCAGACATAAAGAATCGAAGAAAACGGAAGAACACTAAACTTCAAGAACAAGATGTAAATTCTGGTTAAAGTTCAGGATGTATGTGAAGAAACAGCAGATTAAAATGTTACACTTGAGGTAGTTCTGTCTAGTATACTGCTCAGCAAGGAAAATTCTTGTAATAATCCTGGCATTACCTCAGCAGGGTTTTTTTCCTTAACATTAGGTACTTTTGAGGAGTTAGCCATGGAGCATATTACTGTAATGAAGAGAAAGAAGCCTGAAAGGAATGGAGCCTATCCATTATCTCTTGTGAGTTTTCTATGTGAAACAAACAGATTACTCCCTACAGGTGTAACACTAAAATGTTGTTTAGTTGTAGATTGACTCGGTGTGTAGCAATTCCATACTGTACTTGACATAATGACGCAAAATACTTTACAGAAGACACTTTGCACAAGATTTTAACATTTTAGTAGACCTATGTAAAGTAAAATGGTTATAGTACAGAACCCTCTTCAGTGGTAAAGAAAATTTGTGAGCATCACTCCCAGCCTTTAGTGGGTCCATAGACAGTGTGAGTTGGTGTATGCTAAGAAACATAAATATATTTTGTAGTTGTATGGGTAGGTAGTGTGATTGGTGGAAAATTGTGCTTGCTGGTTGTAGCATGAGGTGGGGTTAAGTGATGTTCCTCAGGGGGCTTGTTGATGCAAAAAATGAAGTATAGATGTAGTGACAAAGGAAAATGTTTATGATATAGATGGTTGGTGGTGGGGAGACCGCTTGATCTCCTCCAGGGAATGAAGGCAGGAACACCTGACAGTTTCAACCCTCAGTTGACATCACATCCATACTGGACCCAACTCTTGTTTAAGCTGTATTATTTTTGAGTGACATGATCATTTACTTTGGTTTATTGTCAGTTTTTAAGATATTAGAAGATTATTTATTTAATACTTTGATAAAATTATAATGCTTTATGAGGGGAATTATATACAGAACTGAAATTAGACCCACTAGTGAATGTAGGAAGTGGGTCCACAAGAGTTGCAGTGCAGTAGGATGATGGAGGGTAACAACTGGCCCTATCAAGGCAGGAGAAACTCAACTGTGTTGTTGGGTTGAGCTACGTAGGTGACGGAATCAGTGTTGGAGGCAGTATTGAAGCTACAGTAGCTCAGTTTCATGAGTCAAAAGTGGCTGGAGGAAGTTTAGGGAGTTGTTGCCTTTATTGAAAGGAAAATATATGCAACTGGCTTGAGAAGTGTGTTGTTGCATGATACTGAAACATGGTAGTTAAAAAGGATAGCATAATCAAGCTTGAATCAGCTGAAATGAGAATGGTGAGGTAGATATTCAATGTGACACTGAAAGATAGGAAACCTGTTCAGAGTGAGGAAAGTGGCTGGGTATTGATAGGATTGGGAAATTTTGCAGAGGTAGGCTGAGATGGTTTGGGCATGTAAAAAGAATGGACGAGACAAATTGGTTGAAGAAATGCGGAAGTAATGAGAGTTAGGGGTAGGTCAAGAATGACGGGGGGTTAAGAAATTACTTAAGATTTAAGAACCTGAGAAGACAGGGTGCAAGACAGAGTAAAGCATGGAGAGCTGCTATCAGGTAATTATAGCTTACTTATGCAAGTATGGGAAATGGCCATAAAAAGTTGTTGTTGATGCCTGCTCATCAGCAGGACTTCTCAACTAAGTTATTAATATTTCTTGTAATGGGCCACACTAATGTTCAATAATGAATTAGAACTGTAATACTAATTTTAACTAACATACAATGTGAATGAGATCAACTTGAGGCATTATAAAATAATTTTCAGGGATACAAGGCAATAAAATTTACTTAAATTCATTCAGAAGTTTATCTTCCTGCGGATTTATGGACTATTGTTTTGAATCCGTTTTCCATTATATTTTTATTTTATTTTTTACTTTGCTTGGGGGGCTAACCATAAAAGGCATTAGGTTTTGTGTGTGCTAAGAAAATAGCCACTTTTATATGTTGCTCATGCTGGGTATAATTAAGCAAGGTAAAGGAATTACTGTACAATACTGTATTGTACTAGTTTTGCACATGATTTCTGATTTGTTTACACAAAAGTTAACAAGAATATCCTAAGCACTAATATGTGTTTATGAAGTTGTTGAAGAAATGTAATTTATTTAATGTTAAAGGAATTTGTGCTATTCATGAAATAAATTTCAGCATAGTTATGACACTTCTGAAATGTTTGGAAGAACAGTGACAAATACATCGATATAATTTTTTTAAGATAGTCCCAGTTTGATATTTGTTTACATGTGCTTAAATTAGACTAAATTTACTATCTTTTGAGACCAGTTTTATTGTAATTGATTTGTGAGTTATGGAGATACAATATGTGGAAAATAAATTACTCTAATTTAATCATGATTATCTAAAAAAAAATATATTTTGATGTTTTTGTCGCTGTTCCCCATTATCTAAAAAAAATATATTTTGATGTTTTTGTTGCTGTTCCCCATGTGCCTATTATCTATGTTGAGGTTTGATGTTCTGGTATTTGCACTATTGCACGTGGACTCACAGGGTTATAAGAACTAAACCTCTACAGACAGTCCCTGGGTTATGTACAAGTTCTGTTCCTACGGACATTCTTAAGTTGAACCACATACCTTATGTGCTTACTGTACTTAGAGAACAATGTTTAAAATTCCACTATATCATATTCCAAGTCCTTATATACATCTAAAATAACTTAATTTAAGAGAAAAGAAGAAATAGAATGACAAAATACAGTAAACGAAGGTACAAAAAAGTTATCAGGTAAACATACTGTAAATTTAAAGTTTAACTTTATGGGACCTTGTTCGTAATGGCAGATGTTTGTAAGTTGGATGTCCGTAACCCTGGGACCTCCTGTATACTGTTACTGGAAGAGTTTCCTTTTTTCCAATTCTCCATCATCTAAATTCACACCAGAAATTCAACTTATCTTAATTAAAGGGTTCAGTACTTGCATTTCTCTCTTTATGCTAACCTGGCATAAAGATGACAGTGTTGCACAGAGATAATGGGGAAAAATCACGCAAAAATCTCTATGATGGTGTATACATAACATTGGCAAACAACACATCGGGCATAAGTTCAACACTAATATATTCTTCTGAGCACATTTCATAGAAACCTACTACATCTAATATATATTATGATTTACTGTTTCCAATACGAACCCACAATCTATACACTGGCAGTAGCATTTGTAGGTACAGCCACACCAAGTTCCATTAGAACACCTAATAATTCCTCTAAGCACATTGTACTGTATTAAAAAACGATTAATTTTATTTAAATATTAATGTGTAACTTAATGTTGTTACTGTAATGGTAACTTCTCATTCTTCTTAATAATAATAGTAATGAAGCAAACAGACAACATATATTGTACCTCTTTATTAAACAGTGACATTGTGTTATACAGTAGTGTTGACATATAGTGTTTCTTCTTGGTATTTCTCCCTTTTCTTTGTACAGTATTCTTTCTTTCTCTTCTTAGCCTCTCTTCCTTCCTCTTCTTTTTAGTCTTCTTTCCTCCCCTTCTTAATTATCTTTTTCCCCTCTTCTTAATCTTTCCTTCTATTTCACGTAAGAGAGGTCATGCCACAATTGTTAGCTCCTTATTAACACTCGAGCTCCATGACTGATATTTGTGTCAATTTTTATTCTTGTCTAATTGGTACAGACACCATTCTCACTTCACTCAAAAGAGAAAAATTCACCAAAGATCGAGTGATTATGATTGATGAGTAAGATTTGGGCACTTCACTCCTCGAACTGTTCTCTCTGATGGTAATCTAACACTATTGTAATTATATATGGTACAGTATATGGCAACCCCTCCTAGCATGAGGCTTGAACACTTCAGTAGTCTCCCAGTTGTGCACTTTTCCTTTAAACTTTCTTCCGTTGTTCCTTCCGCACACCTGCCATCCAACGTGCAGTAATATTCACCTGTAAAATTTATTTTTTTACTAGTTTTACAATATTTTCTTCAGTATTTACTTATTGAAACTTGTAACTGTTGTTTGTGTGAACTGCTGTTGATGGATTTTTTATTTCAAAATCACTTATAGCCAAACTGTACATGCTAGAAAAATTCTAAAAAGACCATAACAAACCTACACATTTATCCTAACCAAACGAATAAAATCATGAAACAAATAAAAGTAATGGCTAAAATTTAAAAGAAAAAGGACAATTTAAGAAAAGATTCCCCCCCATACCCCAGCTTCTGATTTCATCAATGTAAAGTTTAAATGTCTGGTATTTTTGTGGTATACAGTATCTGTTATTGTGACAGAGCAATTTTACATCTAATGTACAGTACTGTATTGTACTGTACTTATTTGATTTCATACGGAAAAAAAGGTTGTAAAAAATTCATCCAAAGAAAAAAAGATGCAGCATGGCACTTCCAGGCCATAAGGTCACAACTAGCCTCATGTGTGGAAGGAATTAGGTGGATGAGTGTTAAACAGTACGGTAAGTCCTCCTCCAACCCGAGGGTTGGGTTCCTAAAAAACGACGTGTTAGAGGAATCTGCGTTAGAGGAACTTAATACAGTATTTAATGAGATTAATAAGAATTGGGAACACCACCACATAAATTCTCATCAGCTGACTCACAGACGTGTGGCTGCTGCAGGGCCGGCTGTGTGTATGCCATCATGTCACATCTAGAGGGAGTGCACCCACAGTTACATATATCTAGCCATAACCCACTGCCTCGAGATATTCACTTCCCCCCCCCCACACACACACACACACACCCATGCTCTTAATTTTTCTTATTTTATAGTTTTATATTATATTTTATTTATTTCTAAGTTACATTAGAGTATTGTAATGATTTTTCCACAACTTATAGTTTCATTACAAGTGAGTCGGCCATGTAGTAGTTATTTATATTTATATTTTTAGCCAAGGCCTTGGCTAGAACCACCTCCACACATGTTCACTTCTCACACATACTCACCCGTCTTCTTCATTTTCCTTATTTTTCAGATTTACTGTATATATTTTCTTTATTTCTAAGCTACCTTAGAATACCATAATGGTTTTCCACAACCCTTGTCGTTTAATTATTAGTTAACAACATACGAAGCTGGCGAGCTACCGTTGCTTCACCCAGGCCACTTTGTAACTTTTCAAAAATTTTAATTTTCTCTTCTAATGTCATCACTTTACGGCTTTTCTTAACTCCACCACCACTTGGAGATAATGTACGTTTAGGAGCCATACTGTTTAAGGGTTTGTTCCCCCTCCCAAAAAACAGTAAAAAGAGGAAAAAGTATATCAACATGGACACACAGCTCTTTGCCTGATTACAGCTTACAAGAGTTGAGGCTGAGGGAGACATGTGTTAGCTAATGTGTTAACAAACTGCATAAATTTGAATTTTCCTGTTCGGAAAATACATTAGTCGCATTTATTTTTGTGTGTATATGTTAATTTGTGTTATAGGAATACGCGTTGGAGGAGGACTTACTATACAGGTATTGAATAGAAGATATTCACATCTGTCTTGTCACCACCCTTGTGGGACAGGTACTGTAAGTGGGCATTGTCAATATTGTCATAATTTGTTTGTTTGTTACCATGGGTGTCACTAATAGACTTTTTTTTATGTAAGCTCTGCTGCTTTCTGGATATTAACAGTGTATTCTTGTTTTATTTTATTGTTATTTTGTTACTATTTTATTAGTCAGTATTGTTTGAATATCATTTCGTAAATTATTACAATATTTTCCGTACAAACCCATCAGATATTAAGGTATTTAAATACAATTCTCCAGGTCTTGGAAGGTGTTTTTCTCAAACATGTAATCCAAGTACCAGGTACTGACACCATAATGAGCTTATGTAAGTTAAAATACACTACATTACTATATGTATTCAATTTGTAGCATACAGTACAGTGTAAATTTATATTTACAAATCTTATTATCTGATGTATTTGAATTGAAACTAGTACATTAATTTATAAAATACTGTACACGTATGGGTATAGTATTCTGTTAACAGTCTTTTCCTAAAATGGGCTTAGAGGAAATTTATTACGGTGTTTAACTTATGTAAGCTGGAGACAAACAAACACTCCTGCTACTAATGATGTGTGTACAGTATTGTATAGATTTATATTAACCCTTTGGTTATGAGGAGAGTCTCTGTGCAGAATAAACTTGTCTGGCATTAGCTAATTATAATAGTAAAAGAGAAGTGGTTAAAGTTTAGTATTTGGTTGGTTTGTATGACAAATGCTTTAATGATTTATGAAATGTATTAATAATTTTATAATAAAATGTGCTGAGAGGGAACATTTATGGTGCTTTAACTGGTCAAACATGAACAAACATTCAGTTTTAATAGTTTATATTGTAGGTCTATATTGAAAATTATATTTTGCAAACTATATTAATAGTGCCCAGAGGATATATTAGTATGTTTAACAGTTTATCACTTACATAAGGTCGGTGTGTTGCTTGACCCATTGTCTTAAATAATTGCCAGCCATCGCATGAGTCTGGTCAATAGCAGACAGTGTTCCTAAATATCTGGACAAAAACACATCTGCTGTTGGAATTATTCTGTATTGAGAAGTCCATTATTGAGAGATTTATTGGATCTAATTGACACCTTGACCAGGTCACCACTTTAAAACTTTATCACAATGTTCTTTAACCTAAAATACAAGTTAAATACACTTAACTATTCTTATCATTTATATATTTATAATGTGTCTGAGCACAACAGCTGCATAACATTAGTGCAAGATACACTCATCACCTCCCCCAGGTTGTGCTGATACAACTGACGCCTAAATTTGTTTTGTTTTTACCCCAAGGTTAAACTTAAGCACACTCCTGTCTTTCTAATTACTATTTAAATATATATTTTTATGTAAAATAGCACATAAGCATAAACGCATGAATTTGTTGTTACTGTATAGGTATTCCCTCTAGCACATTCTACAATGTACTTGTATTATAAACTACAGTATATCAATATGTTGTAATTTGTAAATTACTGCTGTTTTCAATACAAATACACTGGATGCAATAATAATATACTTAAATACAAATCAATTCACAATAATACTGTACTGGTAATTGGAACGATTTCTTCGTCTTAGGCACTATACTTGTGACACACATAATGTGAATAAGTCTTATTCAATATGTTTTGGGTTTATTGCAGTGTTGTTATTATTTTTTACTGTATTTATTATTATTATTTACAGCATTTATTATTATTATTACAGTATTATTTAATAATCAAACACATATTAATGTTTTGACAATGAGTATTACCCCTTTCATTGACTTGGTCAGCCAGGAATACAACAGATAAATTTTAGGTGGATTTAGTCATACTTGGGTCACTCAGAAATGAATCTCCATTTATATTTTGGAGTCAACTGTACACATTTATTTGTTTACGCTTTCATGCCCTACCCTGTTTTTATATTAGACTTTGATGTACATAATTAGAGGTATTGAATGTTAATGTAGCACAAAGCTAATATTTTTTTAACATGCAATCTCGGTATATCATTAGTAGGGTTACCACTGTTCAGGGGCAATATTAATTGGCTACCTAACGTATGATCATTCTACGTTGGTTACTCTTTAAGATTGGAGCCGTCCCTTCCAATTTGTGTTCTTCTAAATGAATGTAATGTACCGTATATAATCTATGAAGGGATGAAACGTCTTTTCCCTTAAGTGTTTCATATTTTTAGCTGATGTTACTGCAGCTAACAAGAGGACCTGCCTTATTCTCCCACATTCTTTTTCGTGGAGGTTTGTTGATTCCCATTGCTCAGTCCTATATTTTATTGGAAAGAAACCAATGATATTTCCATTCTTGCTGCTGATATTAGTATGAGTAGTTCCACACACACACACACACACTCTGGAAGTAGTACATACTGTACCGTAGTTTGCAGGGGACCTAGGTCTTGCATATAAATTTAACCATTTATGGAGTTTAATATGCGCTGTTTACTTTGGTGGAGAAAGCTTGAGGAATCTGACTTAACCACAATTAATACTAATGATTATAAAATGAATGATAACATACCATTCATCAAACTACATTTCATTTATATTTTTATATTCAAGTCTAGCTATAACCCCTTTTGCCTCAAACCTGGAGCATTTGTATTAAATATGTGGTTTAGATTAATTCTCTGAGGGGAGTAGCAGTGTGCAGGGACAGATCCAGGAATATCAAAAGGTACAAGAAGTTGTTAGTGAGGGAACGTGGCGAGCACAGAAAGCCAACCCAGCTGTTTTTTTGTTGTTTTTTTTTGGGGGGGGGGGTTTGAGTGTGCCGCTCTCCCCCCTCCCCCCAATTTTTATTTTTAAATCTGACCGCATGATATTAGGAGATATTCTGAGGTCAATAGGAATTACTTTTTACTGCACAAAAAATGCATTAAAGAAAAAGTATTGTCATTTTCTGATGAAAAGGGGGGTGCAGACCCCAACCTGGATCTGCCCTTAGTGTGTGTTATCTGGATTAGGGGAGCAGTGTGTGTTATCTGGAGTAGGGGAGCAGTGTGTGTTATCTGGAGTAGAGGAGCAGTGTGTGTTATCTGGAGTAGAGGAGCAGTGTGTGGTATCTGGAGTAGAGGAGCAGTGTGTGTTATCTGGAGTAGAGGAGCAGTGTGTGTGGTATCTCACAGATGAAGGGCAGTGTGTGTTATCTCTGGAGTAGAGGAGCAGTGTGTGTTATCTGGAGTAGAGGAGCAGTGTGTGTTACCTGGAGTTGAGGAGCAGTGTGTGTTATCTGGAGTAGAGGAGCAGTGTGTGTTATCTGGAGTAGAGGAGCAGTGTGTGTTACCTGGAGTTGAGGAGCAGTGTGTGTTATCTGTAGTAGGGGAGCAGTGTGTGTTATCTGGAGTAGAGGAGCAGTGTGTGTTATCTGGAGTAGGGGAGCAGTGTGTGTTATCTGGAGTAGAGGAGCAGTGTGTGTTCGCTGGGTAGGGGAGCAGTGTGTGTTATCTGGGTACAGGAGCAGTGTGTTATCTGGAGTAGGGGGAGAGGTGTGTGTTATCTGGAATAGAGGGCAGTGTGTGTTACCTGGAGTAGGGGAGCAGTGTGTGTTATCTGGAGTAGGGGAGCAGTGTGTGTTATCTGGAGTAGAGGAGCAGTGTGTGTTATCTGGAGTAGAGGAGCAGTGTGTGGTATCTGTAGTAGGGGAGAGGTGTGTGTTATCTGGAGTAGAGGGAGCAGTGTGTGTTATCTGGAGTAGGGGAGGTGTGTGTTATCTGGAGTAGGGGAGCAGTGTGTGTTATCTGGAGTAGAGGAGCAGTGTGTGTTATCTGGATGAGCAGTGTGTGTTATCTGGAGTAAAGGAGCAGTGTGTGTAATCTGGAGTAGAGGAGCAGTGTGTTATCTGGAGTAGAGGGCAGGTGTTATCTGGAGTAGAGGAGCAGTGTGTTTATCTGGAGAAAGGGGCAGTGTGTGTTATCTGGAGTAAAGGAGCAGTGTGTGTTATCTGGAGTAGAGGCAGTGTGTGTTATCTGTAGTAGAGGAGGTGTGTGTTATCTGGAGGGAGCAGTGTGTGTATCTGGAGTAGAGGAGCAGTGTGTTATCTGTAGTAGAGGGGCAGTGTGTGTTATCTGGAGTAGAGGAGCAGTGTGTTATCTGGAGTAGGGGAGCAGTGTGTGTTATCTGGAGTAAGGGCAGTGTGTGTTATCTGGAGTAAGGCAGTGTGTGTTATCTGGAGTAGAGGAGCAGTGTGGTATCTGGGTAGAGGCAGTGTGTATCTGGAGTAGAGGGCAGTGTGTGTTATCTGGAGTAGAGGGCAGTGTGTGTTATCTGGAGTAGGGGAGCAGTGTGTGTTATCTGGAGTAGAGGGCAGTGTGTGTTATCTGGGTAGAGGCAGTGTGTTATCTGGAGTAGGGGAGAGGTGTGTTTACCTGGGTGAGGAGCAGTGTGTGGTCTGGAGTAGGGGAGGTGTGTGTTGTCTGGGTAGGGGAGAAGTGTGTGTGTTATCTGGAGTAGAGGAGCAGTGTGTTATCTGGAGTAGAGAGAGGAACCCTCAACTGTACACTACAGTAATACAAAACTTGAAAGCTGATTCAGGTATAAGAATATACAGTATAGTATAGTATACATATATTGTAAGTTGGCCTGTTTTCTGTTATGAAAATGTCAAATTTTCTTTGAAATTTTCCATTTTCTATGAAATTATTATCCTATAAAATGGGAGGGGAAGAGGTGGTACAGCGAGGGGGGGGGGAAGGAGACGGATGTATAAATTGGATAATTTTGTCATTAAGAAGATATGTAACCAGGTAAAAGAGTTCATCACTATTTATAGACTTGAATATGGTGGAAACCTGCTGTCCCAATGGACTTCATCACAATATACCCTGTATTAGCCTTGTTAGTACTTACTCCTTAGTCTGTAAGTTTGTACTCACCCCCAAGATGTGAATTATATATAAAAAGTGCTGAAGAACTTTTGTTTTCTATTTTCTTATGTGGGTTATCAGCATAAAATTTTCCATTTTTATGATGAAAATTTTCATATATATATATATATATATATATATATATATATATATATATATATATATATATATATATATATATATATATATATATATGTATATATATATATATTTGCCTGTATAATGTTTATCTATCAGACCAAAGCATCCAGGCCAGTTGTATAACATAGGCTTAGCAGTAACCAGGGGAACAGGTGTTCACCCACGGAAGTTGACACACCCTACAGTGACTAAGGTGAGATAAAGACCTGACCCAAAGGAGGCCAAGGTCACCAAGAGAACCAGAATTCTCACCGCCATGCGATTAGCTTAACCCGGCGTTATGACCTTGTCAGGGCCGGTGCAAGATGATTTGGCGCCCTAGGCAAGCCTTGATGTGCGCCCCCTTGAAAGTTTTGATAAGCTAATGTAGGTACAGTAACCCATTACTACATTGTTTTCATCTTGTGGCTTTATTACTTCACCCATGCAAATAACCAATTATTGTTATTACATTAAGTCAATAAATCCTTGACGTAAACTTCAGAGGTCAGGTAACCTTGCCTCATCCCGAAAAAGACCGGGAAAGGGCGGCTCAGCCGCCCTGGCAGTAAGGGAGGGGAGGGGATGGTGGGGTTGGGAGAAGGGTTCCTCAGATGTCAGCCTTCAGGTCACTGCTCGACAGTTCTCCAGGCCGCCAAAGATAAGGACCCGGGTTAGTCCCTCCGGGGGGTTAACGAATAATATTAAAAAAGAAAACACAGTCGGCTACCGTCTACCTACCCTCGCCTCCCTCCGACCCCCCACCCTTCTAACATCCTGCTCCGACCCTCCACGGCTCCACCACAGTGTCCACCACAGTTTTCCCTTCATTTTTAATTTTATCCAAGTTTGCCCTGAATTTGTGGCGCCCCCAGATGTTGGCGCCCTAGGCGATCGCCTAGTTCGCCTAGTGGGTAGCTCCGGCCCTGGACCTTGTTAATCCAAGGAACTGCTATCCAGCCAGTACTTCTGTTACCTGACCAACCAGCCGGTCTAGACACACCCAGATTAGTATTAATGAAGAGAGGTCATCTGCCGGCTGGAACTCTCCAATATAAGGGGCCTGCAGCCCCTTCCACAGGATGATTCTTATAACCGTGAAGGGCCAGCAACACACGTCCCCAGTCCCGCTCATCGAAGAAGTTGTCACTAAGCGTAGCGAGGTCTCAGCCTGGTCCATCGTGTAAAAGTAAGTGCTGGCTGTGTAGACGGTAGTAGTGCGGTGATCCTGAACCTCCCCAACGATCACCTTAGTAGAGGTGCCCATTTTACTTGTTAGGTAATAGGAATATATCATTGTCTATTATATATTGTGTATGAACCTCCATTAATCCCCCCCCCCTCCGTTGAACTAGTAATATAAAGCTGTAAAACGCATTTGTGTTTTATATGCAGTATAGTCTTGTCCCCCCAAAACACCTAAATTTGCCTGTAAAATGACACCAAGTCTTCGGTGCCTGAAATATGCAAATTTGCCTGATGTATTGGGGCAGGAAATAATAATTCCACCAACTGATATTTGCGAGAGGTATACTTTTATAAAGTTAGAGATTCCTATTTATTTTCTATGCCGAGAACTTTCTATAACCTTCTAGATTATATTTCTCTTTTTTTCCAAGTCTTTCTTTAATTTCTTTTTCTTCTATCATTTTCTATATTCTTATTTATTGCATTCCTTTAATGTTCTTATTTATTTATATTCTGTATTTCCTCTAACTTACTTTATGCGCAACTTTATTTAGTTATATTCTGTTCAGTGGATTAACCTGGGAAAATCACATCATTGTCTAACATTACACATTAGTATAATTATTATACTTACATACCGGTAGTAGGTTGCCACCATCCAGGCTTTTCTTTAGAATATAATTTCTATCGTTAACAAGGAGTAGCGTGGTAGACACGAGAGGTTAGGCAAGTGAGTACAGTGTATATCTTCTACTAACCAATATTTATTAAAATCATCTTTGAATATTATGACAATCTGACCGTTTACTCGCAACAGCAAAAACTAGGTTCAAATCACCAATTACTTTACTGTAACCTTGAAACAAAACTGTCCACTAGGTCTTACTTTATAAGTAACAAAAATAGATCTTCAATTAAATTACCTCCACTACTTGTACCTCCTTAAGGGTATTATTATCTATCATTAACAATAAAGATGGTCACTCTACACACTTGTCAATAGCTCACAGGGATATTAGTACAGTGCTTGTATCATCATACATGGAACGTACGGTCCGACTAATTACCCAAATATAGCCGCAATGAAGTCAAATAATGGTCCTACATGAATAAATCGGACTGCTAATCACTTCTCGACTAATATTTGGTGTCACAAAGTCACAAAAAAATTGGTAAACTTAATTTAATCTGAGTTGTGTTGGGTTAGGTTAGGTTAGATTAGGTTAGGTTAGGTACATGCACTTGATCTATTAACTCGGATTAAATTACGTTTTCCAATTGTTTGTGACCGTGACCCCAAATACAGTTTAGTGATTAGGTTAGGTACATGCACTTGATCTATTAACTCGGATTAAATTACGTTTTCCAATTGTTTGTTACTTTGTGACACCAAATACTAGTCGAGAAGTGATTGGTAACCCGATTTATTCATGTAGGACCATTATTTGACTTCATTGCGGCTACATTTGGGTAATTAGTCGGACCCTTCGTACGTTCACCAGCACATCTCAACTGAGGAGGTACAGTGGCTGGCTGGCGCGTTATTCAGCGCATTTTGGACAATGAAGCAGCAGCCATTGAAATTTTTAGGGATCACGTTGTTCTTGTTTCATCTGTATAGTGTCCAAGGTGTAATTCAGTGTCATAGGGTGTAGATCACCATGCATAGTACTGTGGTAAGAGACAGACAAAGACACCACTTCCTCATTCAAGTTGCATCACACTAGGGGTTAGGTTAAGTTAAGTTAGATTTTTTAGTTTTGGTCAATTTATGATAGTAACCAGGTTTCGGTTTTTCCATAAAAAATACTTTTTCACATTTCAGATTTCTAAGACATTTTTCTTATATGGTATTTCTGCTGGAAATTTATATTTTTTTTTTAGTATTTTAATAGATAAAATTACCAAAAATATTATTTGTTTTAAGTGGGCAGGGTTTGAAGTCGAGGGAAAATGTCGGGTAAAATGCTAAAAAGAACACCAAACAAACCTTTGAAAACCTTTCCTAACTTATAAATATCTTAAAACTATAGAAAGCTTACCTTAGTCATGTTTTTGATGTTTAGTAAGTGATAGTGGTGGTGTTTTCAGTGTTCAGATGAAGAGGGATCAATAAACTCGAAAGCAATTCTTAACCTTTTTTATAGGTTAGGTGTTCTGATTTCTCTGGATAACTGAGGTGCCATGGTGAATGCACCAGTCTGGCAGCCCTCCTTTGGATGTTTACAATGAATTGACAGTCTCTAGCATATCTCAGGGACCAAACAGGATGGCAGCACTCCAATCAGGGAAGCACCTCACTCTTGAAGAGCATTACAAGGGTTGCACCATCTAGGTATTTGAACGCCCTTATTATAAGACCCACAAACCCATTTGCTTGATTCACCTTCTCACAATGGCCCGAGAACTTCAGTTTGTTGTCAACATACACACCCAGGTTCTTTTCACATATGGTCAAATTTAATGCCGTTTCTTTGTTTTGTTGGAACATGCGATATGCCTCCTTACTGTTGGTATAACATAGGTGCATTGAGGGTACTGTACAGTGAAGATAGGTTCATTCCCACATAGGACAATGAATTTGTTTACTCTGAGTTTTCTTTTTAATCCAAATAATATTGCTTCAGTCTTTCCAAGATGTAGGGATAATTTGTTATCTATACGCTTTTGTTTGCATCACTCCAGTTCAGATGATAATTTACTCGTCTTTAACCAACACGAAAAGAGCATTGTCATCAGCATATAACAAAAGTTTACAATTAACACTAACGGGCATGTTATCTACTCTTGATTCGAAACATCCTGTCCCATGCGGGAAAATGCAAGCAGGAGTGAAAATAAGCAAGTATACTGTACTATAATATGAAATTTACATCTTACTGCCGACAGCTTAACTCTCAATGAACTTAGCACTTTGGCCAACTATACAAATAAATACATTTCATCTTCAGCTTTACTTTTCATGAACCCTACTACTAAATTTTGAGATGATACCAAGTGACCTTTGTTGAGCTTTAGGGAATGGATTTGATTGTGATATTCTGCATTAAAAAAATTCTTTTATATAAGATAAAGAAGCAAGCAGGATGTGACAGAAGTGATGCACTTGAGTAAAATGTAGGAAAAATAGATGCAAGAAATATGAAACAGAAATAAGATCTCCATCTTATTTCTGAACGTGAAAAAGAACACCAGCCCTAATTAGTATGCATTTCTTCCAATGGCAACCAGATTCTTGCTCACTTTTAATTACAGCTCCTACTGAGATTTACCAAGTTTTCCTTCTTGCTGATTACTATTAAAAATAAAGCCTTTAGTTAGGACTTTCTTTCAACTTTAAAGGCTTTTAACTGTTAGTTACAATGTTGAGCACTTCAGTTTAAAATATACCCACAAGTACAGTGATCCCTCGGTTAACGAGCACCTCGGTTAACGAATTACCCTCCATAAGATTCTTCACTTTGGTTAACGAATTCCTTACAAATTTTTCTCAACATGTTTTCGCCTGCTCACCAGCTGTAGTATTAGTCCGCCAATACAGTAATCGGTTTTAGGGCTTAAATTCGTTACCATTTGAGTAAATATCAAGAAGGTTGTACTATTCAATAATTTCCCAAGTCTTATACTGTATTAAAGTTTTTAGTCATTTTAACAATTATTTAACATAATTGAAGTACAGGGAAATAGTTTTTAGGTGCCAAACAGCCACACAACACACCCAAAATGGCGTCAGTGTGTGTCCCTGCTCAGAGGAGGAAGCATCTTGCTTCAGACTCTCTTGAACATAAACTATTTTTACATTTTTACAGTACAATTATTGGTCATTCTGAAGTTTATTTTACATATTGACAATATATAATGCAGTGCAGTATTGATTTAAAGAAAATAATCTTGAATTACACCAAGAGAGCTAAAATTTTATGGGTGAAATGGCAGCATGGGGTGACTTCTCTTCCACCCCAATGCCTTCTCTTCTCCCTTCTCCTCCACCCCCATTCTAATTCCCATCATCATCATCATCAACCAGGAGCCTTCTACATGCACACCTCAAAGTAAGTGTACTTTACTGCATTTTTTAGTTTGTATGTAATTTTTGGCGAGTTGGAACCAATTAACCAAAAACCCATTGAATCAAAGGTTTCGGTTAACGAGCAACCATCTGGAACAAATTGTGCTCGTTAACCGAGGGACCACTGGTTATACAGTAGTACAAGTGTTCCTTCGCTACTCAAGTAAAAATTTACCATTATTTTCCTAACATTTCTTGAATGGTTAATCATATACATCATCTCTGTGTATATACTCTTTTATTGATGATTATGTTAATTTTGATAGTGACAGCCAAAAGATAATGCAATATTTAAAATTTATATACTGTACATTTTTACAAAAATCACTTAAACATATCCACTGAATATTGATATCACCATAATATCCTAATTCTATGTATAAAAAAATACTTTTTTGGCATTTACCACCCTTATGCATTAGGTCACACATTTTCACTAAGTACACCACGGCTGAAGATCATCCATTGATTATTCAAACCTGGAATGCCAAGCTCACCAGACAACAGTAAAGTCGTCTGGGAATGAAATAAGTACTTTGCAATTCATTTTTATGATTCTAAGCAGTAAACATAAATTAAATGACTTCTAATGATAACATTGCTTAACATTCACTCCAGTTATACCAGCAGTGAGAAATGGGGGAAGCTTGAGCTATTTCATGGGACTGGCAGTTTTGTGCAAAATACAATCTGGAGAATTTTTTTTACACAAAATATAGTGTACAATGTATGAGATTTTGAAGAAAAAAAAATCTTATTTTCAAACAAAATTTATGAATCTACATATACGTAGAGTATTCACTGATGGTATGCATGATGACAGTAAACTTACCAATGTCCATAATATTGTTAATTACAGTATGATGACAGCCATCATAACTTGTGCAAATACTGCATATAGAGCTATCAGCTACATGGCACCAGTGTGCCATAAAAATAAAGCTAACCAAATTGGAATGATTGCATTACAGTGGCGGATTTATGTTGGGAGAGGGGCATGGAGGGTGCATCCCCTCCCTTAATTTCTTATTGAAGTTTAATCCCTCCTATTGGAAGTTTTGTTTTATTGGTTCAATTTGCACGTATGGCTTATGGGGTCCAAAGAAGCTCAATATCCCTTGACCTAATTCATTGCATTGAGCCATCAGCAACTGACATTAAATAGTTGCACTCCCTCTAACCTGAAGTCCTGAATCCGCCCCTGCATTAGGTACAGAGGTTGGTTACAGAGAAATTTTGAATCTAATTAACAGAACTCATTTTCACCTTGACATAAAAGAGTCACTTATTCTGCCTCAAACTAATTTACTTATTTATAAAAGCAATACTGTTCACATAATGAAAGACAGCCTTTTACAATTATTACCCTTAAATAAGGCTTCTGATATAATCAAGGTGAATATAAATTGTATTAAAGATGATAGTGATCAATAATACTGATTACATATATTTTTTGGTTTACTATTTTGTGATTAGACAGCTTTTTAAATACAGTACTAAATCATTACAAATAATTTGGGCCAAATTCCTGTGTGCACAAAAAAAGCCAAAAATTAAATTGAAAATATTGCCATCACATGTTCAATATAACTCTAGGAGCCACAGGTAATTATTACAGTATAAACTATGGTATCACTGAGACTGTTGATACTACAACCACGGCAGACTGGTGGCGGTTAATGCCACAATAAATGCTGACTCAAAAAGGACAATGCTTTATAAAAACTGCAGAAAGACATGTCACTTCAGTATCATAATGTGCTGAACCCATTCTTGAACCCACTTGTTTTCATAAGTACATGACTGATACATAAATGTTATATAAATATTTATATCATCCTATCCTAAAAATGGGGTTTGTGTACAGTATTAAAGTAAGTACTGGTTCTATTGCTCACAAAAGAAAAGAATGTTGTACTAATTACAGTACTTAAAGGTTAATGCAATAAACTCGGTGATTATTGCACCCATTTCCTCACCTCATCATTAAATAATTCACAAAATGTTTGTGTGGAGAGTATTTAACACTTTGTATTGTGTTGCTTTATTAGTGCCTGTGCTGTACTTGGCAGAGGGAATACTGGAGATTTTCTACAGACGAGGCTTTTCTGTGTGAGTTGTATGGAAACACTGGTCTCATCCAGCACCGCAATTTCATGAGCACTGTAAATGTATGTGAGGTTTCTAGCTCATAAAAAATCATTTTGATACACTTTACTTAAATTTAAGGTATTTCTTTTTCTTTTTCTTCAGTAGGGCTTTTTGCATCTGATCATATACATGCAGATCAAACTAATAAAATAAATGAACATTAAATAATGGTACATATTTTGTATGGTCAATGGAACCATTTTACTGTACTCATAGATTCAGTAGTTGCACCATTTTCTATCGTGTGATACCTGATAATTCTCAGGTCATGTTACATCTTCCTGCAAAATTCTAGGTTCTTAACCGATATAGTTCTTAGCCTAGAGTATTGGAATTATTTAGGGTTCTTGAGTATAAAAAACCCCACCCTGTATTTAAGGAAAAATTTACAAGAAGACCTTGAAAACTAGGATTTTAATTAAGGCTTTTAAATGGAAAGCAGCGAAGATTAAAAAACTGCTTGGCTTGGTAATATGTAGCAGTACAGGGAAGCTGTGTACGAGATGCCAATGAAAAACAACACTGGAAGACAGACAGAAAGGGACTTCTCCCCTCCAACAACCTCATAAACCACTAAAAAGAAGGCATCCATGACCAACTGAACTGAACTATTAATGTATACAGTATATAAAAACACCATCATATTAGACTAAGCCACTGATTTTAACCTTATAAAATGCCCCTATACAAAAGAAAAAGTCTAGGTGACATTACATACATGCATAACCTACATTTGGATGAATAACAAGATGACAAAGTAAAAAACTGTTTCCATGTAACTTAACAAAAATTAATGGGCTTCACTGAAGATCTAAAGATCAGTCAGACTTCACTTCCCCTGGTAATGTTACTTATGCTGTTACCAGTACCTTATGCCATTTTTGCAAATAAGATGATGTGTTCTATAATGGCCAGTCAATTTTGTACTGTAAACTATTTTGTGTGTGTGAGAATAAGAGATTTTGCTTTTTTTCTGAAGATAAGGCAAATATGAGCCACAAAATGCCAATTTATTTTTTATTCTCTTTTTAACCCTCAATGACAACCAAAGCACACTTTTACCGTCACACACCAAATGGAGTAGTCCACATTTGTGCTCATGTATCTGTCTAATACTGTATTACATGGGGTACTTTACTTTGATACCAATATATTTGTGTTGCATTGTTGAAATGCTTGGAAAAAAGCCTGCTGCATCACTGATAACCAGGTATATTATGATACCTTTTTGAGTATTAAGAAATATTAGTCAAAGTAATTTTATCAGCATGAGCTGTTAACCCATTCACTACGGGGACAACACTTTTAATACCTGTATTTTATTTGGCTAACGCCAGAGGAGTTTATTCAGATCAGAGGGGAACCTGTACACAAGGGATTAAACTATACTTATTCTGAAAAAGAAAGTGTTTACAGTATTGTGTAGTTTCAGCATATAGCTGCTCTTACTGTTACATGGGCTATAGCTATTTTACAATATGCGGATATTAAACCATACAAGTACAGTACACCTCATCAAGCACTTATTTTTCTCAGACAGAATTATACTGTATCCTGGCAACATATAAATATCTTATGATCAGTAAAGGTCTACAGCTGAAAACATATACTGTACTGCACAGGTGTGTGGAAGAATGTGATTTTAAATGTAGCAATACAAATATGGTAACCAGATATAAAGAGCTACTAGGATTCATTTATAAAAACTAATCAAATAACATATTACTGTTACATTCCCCTCACAACAATCTTAAATATATTTTAATAGTTCTATAGACTGGAATATAGAGAATGTACTGTATGTTATCTTGCATTTATTAATTTCTTGGTCTACATAAAATGTGTGGTATAATACATGATAATTTATATATCGGTAGATGGTTACATATCAGATAAGGTCAGCAAGTGTGAATTTATGAAACCAACCAGAACCTCAATCTTAAATGGGTTGCTGTAAGGTCAATAACAAAACTCCTTAAAGGGTGGTAAATTGTAAGCTTTTAAAACGTCATCTTCAGTTTATTTTCTGAAATATTTTGCTGGGATTTTCAGGTAGTAAATCTTGCTAGCACAAATCAATTTCCAAACAAAACAAAAATTAAATGATAAGTGTAATACAGGTAAACCTCTATTTGCGATGGGGTTGGGGTCCTGAAAACCCCAACGCAGGTCAGAATATTGTAAATCAGGTTCATTGTAACATGGGGTTCAATGTGATAGGTTCCTAGCCAGACACCAGTAGGTACCACAAAAAAAAAAAACTAGAATACTACTAACACTACAACACAAACAACACTCGCCACATCATTAAGAAGTCTAGTCATCATCACATGTCCTCTTCAAGGTGGAGTGGAGACATCAACCTGAGTCCCACACAGACTTTGGGGAGTCTGAAGAGTGGGGACTGGAGGTGTAGCTTTTGTCCTGGCCTTAAAGATGGTGAGCAAAATGCTTGCCAGACATTTTCACAGTTACATTGCTCGCTTCAGTCACGAATACACGATAATAATGATGGGGGACTCGATTATTTTATGAAAAACGTAAGAAATATTGTGATGGGCTGATGTGATCAATTTCAGGTGAAGGTGGGGTGGGATGGTCTCATACGTCAGGTCACCCAGTGTCAGGGTGGGGGATTAGTGTGTCTCATGACCCGAAGATAATTTGAAGAAGGACAAAAGTTAAGTAGCAAATATATTTATGGCTAGCAGAACAAAGTTTATAAACTTTTTTTCACAACTACTCTATTTCTGTTAGAGAAATGAATTTGGTACCATTGCATACAGTATATGTATGATGCATTTCTGATTACATTATTTTGTACCTATGAGATACTGTATATAGTATTGTATATGAAGGATACAGGTATCATTAAGCAGAGATTCTTACAGTAATGTATCTTTACTAATTAATAACAAATAAACACTAATGTATCATGAATGAGTAATAGGTAGGAGTTTGGGTGATAAGCACTGGATGGAATGTTAATCTTTTGGGGGTGTCCCCGCGGTCACTTTTCTCCCCCGATGGTCGCTTCACCCTCTCCTTCCTCATTACTTCACAGCACCTCTTCTAAACTTCCAATTGGGTTAGAGAGATGAATTTGATACCATAATGAACCTGAATAAATTTTCTACGAGACATTTCCAATAAGAGATCCTCAAACAAAATATTTTGACAATATAATGTTGGGGACTTGATTCTTTTATGAAAAAGCATAAAAAATGTCTGTAAAATCAGTTCCATTTTAGTTAGAAATGCCATTTTTTACTAAAATAATCCTGAATAATATATCTAAGAGTTTGGTTAAATAAATATATATAAAAAGCTGAAAATCTATATGATACAGGCGTGTGAGGTGCCTCATAAGTGGAGCTCTGTGTGCGAGTGTCACAGTGGAATTCTCCGGTGTTTTCCCCGAGTCCAAATGACGCATCTCATATGGACAGATACAAGAGGTGTATTTATCTAAGCAAACACCACTGTACATGTACAATATATTATAAATAAACAAAATAATGTATATTACTACTGTTGTCTTGAGCCTACAGTAGTATACTGCCCAATCTCTTGAATGTAATACATAATTGAAATCACTTTTTACATCTTTCAACTCTTGTGTTGAAGATGTGGTAGGGGATCAGTGGAGGTGGGGTGGAAGGACTAGTGGTCTCATATTACTCACCTTTTGATGCAATGTCAGATTACCACACCCATTGTCTGTGTGGGGGATCAGAGTGAAAGAACTTCATAGTCACTAAAACAGAGTATCTGTACAATGTAAGGTGTTAAAAAAATAAAAAAAACACCGATGATGACCGATAAACATTGAGCTTCATTTCTTATACACATGTAACCAAGAAAGAACAATGCCTGGACTGTAGTTCACCAGATGGCCATGAGTTGGTATTTGAGTAGATGACGCCTCAGCTGACAAATGAAGTGAGTGAGGCGTTGCATATGTCGACTTGGCGTGATGACGAATACCTGTATTGTTTATGCAAGTTTGCTTACATCGCAAATAGGGAAGTGGTATTAATACATCAGCATCATTAACACGAATTATCTTATATTGGGATATCGTAAATAGAGGTTTACCTGTATGTGATCATCCATTAGCAGAGCAACTGTACTGAAATTATACAAATTACGTTTGATGTTCATTACTTGACCGATCTTTGTTATATCATCTCTGGTGATATCCAGCAGAATTTAAGTACAGTAACTCAGAAATAAATTAAATATTGCAACTTAACTAGGCCTCAGGGCTAAGTAAAAGACTATGACAGTTTCATTAGCAAATTAGACTTATGCTAGTGTACTGTATATCAAAACATAATTGCACCATTTTACTTATCTTATAAATTAAATAAATCTTAATTCACGATTAACATTTACAGTAATATTTTCTTATTCATTTTATATATTTAAATAAAATACTTTAAAGTCTCCTCCCCCAAAAAAACCAATGAAAGTCTTAAAGAATGATGAATTCTTGCCTATGTGAAGACCTAACCTAGACGTCCTCACATTGTCAACCTTAGGGGAATTAAACAGTATTTACTGTATTAACAAAACTTATATAATGCAATTCATTTCCAGTGTTACTTCTAACAGCATAATACAAGAAGGCTCAGCATATTATGACAAAAAAGTGGCCAAATGCTTGAGTATTTCATTGGGTCAAAGTCTTCACCTAACAGGGAGACGGTGGAACACCTTATATTACAAAGTGTCATTTTGATTTTCAATGTTTAAAATAAACACATTACCAGACAAGCAGTATATATGCATGTCATTTACATTTAAACTTTCACCACAAATACCAATATAAAAATGCAAAATACTTTAAAAAGATTGAATAGTATTCAGTGAGTGAGTATGGTACGTATAAAAATTATGATACAGTACATACAAACTTTCCCAAGTTTGTTTTGACCTCAGACCAAAGACATGGCAAAAGGATGGACAAATAAATTAGCTTGGTTTTACTGAGGATCTCTATATACTCAAATTGTACAACTGTACTTAATGGTGGCTTGTGCGAGCTGAGACTATATATCACCACTAAGAATGTAATAGTTTACTGCCTAATTGACACAATGTTCTTAACTGAGAACCAAGCAATATTTGGTGATTCATATTGGCTCTTACAAATATGAAGTACAAAAATCAACGAGATAACATCATACAGTACAGAAAACTTGTTATTTCCAAACTTCAGTCATTCTGAAGCCATGAACAGTAAGAGGGATAATTAAATGATTTGGTGAGGATGTGTCTGGTAGAGATTTATAAAAATGAGTGATATGAAGCTGAAATCCAAGTTTATGTTATCTAGTTAACCTTACATAGGTGGGAAAATGCATCCACCCAAATACAACATAATGCAAGTGCTGACTCACTGGTTCCATCATTTCTAAACTGAGTTATGACCGACAGTGCCAGCATCACTCTGTGTCCAACATTTGCCCTGCCTTTCCTCAACGTAATAAAACTTTGGAAGCATTGATATGAATAACTTGGCATATTAAATTTTAAAATATTACAGATCTGTCTTTTTGATATACAGTATGTGAAGAAATAGTACACAAACATGCTCAGTCATTTATGTAGAACAAGATAAATATAATTTTTATTTACAGTACAATTCCTTTTATCCAAATTCCAACTATCTGAATCTCTCAGGTATTCAAACTCTTGTCCCCATTGGTCCCATTTGGTTAAAAATTCTAATTTAGTCCAACAATCTGAATGCAATTGAAGTCATTCGCTCGTGTCTGCCACCAGTGGCGTTGTAACTGCTTTGTTTGCAAGCATGCCAGGCTTTTTAGGTTGGTGGAAGGTGTTGGCCCTAATTCCATGCTATGATAAATAATAAAATTGATACACAGCATATAAAATACAACAGCACATATTTTATGTAAAAAAAAAAATAGCTCCTTCCACACTTAAACCATCCTCTAAGTGACGCAATACAATTCAATCAGGCAGTCCACCAGCTGACTCTGAGACGTGTTGTGTGTGTGTACAGTATGCTGATATCACATTGGGAGGAGGGAGCACGGGCCGGGTGAATGGCGACTGGTGAGTTGGGAACACAGTTACAGCCCATTGCCTCGACGAGTCCACACATACGTACATTCACTTCCCGCACATACACACTCGTGCTCTTCATTTTTCTTATTTTATAGTTTGATATAATGTTTTCTTTATTTCTAAGCCACATTACAGTACTGTAATGATTATTTCATAACTTTTAAAGTTTTATTACATATAACAATGGCAACATTCCATCTCACCAGCCACATCATCCCAAGTTTTTATCCGTTCCCAGTGGGTCAAGCTATCGCCGAACCGAATTTTGATGTAACTTTAATTATTGCATGTTCTTGTAGGCACGTCCAGGTATCTGAACCATCACTGGTACCGTTGAGTTCAGATAAAAGGAGTTGCACTGTACTGTATATTAAGTGATTCTTATTTATTAGTAACATTACTCAGACTTTTATCTTTAATAACTATAGGGGCAACATTTTGATAATTTTTCTTGTACTTACCTTTTGCCTTATAATGTAATTCATGTGTCATTCTCTTCTATATACTTTACCTCTGTGTAAACATACTCAAGTGTACATCCCTCATTTCACCTCTTGGTTTCTTCTCTTCTTAAAACTTGATTTCCCTGATAGTTATGACCTTCACCCTACAGGAAAATATGTAGCTATCCTCTGAGTTTCCCTGTAGCACCAGCACATTTCTCTTTCAGGACAACAATATTAACAAAGTGTAATATTTTATAAATGTCACTGATGCACTCACAATCAACCTGGCAGTTTTGTCATGAAGGAGAACAAAACTCCAGTCACATCAAAAAGTTTGAGGAGATGAATTTTGTGATCTGAATGAGTGTCTGAGAAACTTTGGGCACTATTTACAGCATAAAAATATTTTCTCAAATCCAAATAACGTCAGAAAACGCTAGGTTTTAAGATCTTGTAACAATCCATTATCACATACATTTCACTTGTATAAAACCTTTTACCTCTAATGACACCGACAATTCAAAGTATTTTCACAAGAAAATTTGCAAAAATCAGTGTTTCTTTTACTAATGTAATATAATCAGGAACATTCCTAAACAACCACTTCTTTAGCTACTAGGTTTTGTCTCATTTCCATGAGGTCCTATCATGTCAGGTGTGAGCTGAAGGAGGGGGGGGAAAGACACTTGATGCAAGTCATTCATCTGGAAAACTCCTTAAAATATCACTGAATGAGGGCCGCAATTCCGCTGTTGGAATCCAGCACTGTTGCATGACCTGCAAAAAAGAGGGAATGGTGAGGGCTTTTCATCAGTGAAATCAAAGTCATGACTTGTGTTTCTTATTATATACGGTATATGTTACTTTTTTTGTGAAATTGGTTATTTTGCAAAATTCCTGGCATGCATGCCGGTAATTTTGCGAAATAACTTACAAACAGACAACCTAAACTAACCTAACCTTTTGGTTAGGTTAAGTGAGAGGTTAGGTTAAGTTAGGATGGCTCATGTAGATTTTGATACAGTTAAGTGGTCCTGTTTTTGTTTGTTTAACTTTGGTTCGCCTGTTTGTATTTTTTTTTTTTTTTTGCAAAATTACCTGCAAGCATGCCGGGAATTTTGCAAAATAAAAGATTTTGCAAAAAAACAAAAAAACAAATGCAACTAATAAAAATTATACATTCTGGAAATTCAATTACACTGAACTGAAATTTGTACTGTACTGTACACCCTTGATAAAGAATGAATAGATATTCAACAAGAGCCTGGCTCCATGTAGAAGTGAGTCCCACAGGCCTGACAACCTGTCAGGCAGTGAAGACTAAATCTAAATTAGACACGGAAACAGTGTGGCAGACACTGCACTCTACCACCATTGAATTATCCAGTGGGACAGGAAGTGGATGCTACATGTACTCAGCTGTCTCACCCGTCAGTTTTTTAATTTAGATAAAAATTGACATGGAAAACAAGGAGTTCCAACAGAGATTTGTCAGTTAGACCATAAGTTTGATTGTAAGGCAAAGAAATTAGTGAACTAAAAATCTAATTACTGTAAAACAATTGACAAGAGCTCCAAAAAGTTCCCACTTTGAATTTCACTTGATCTTTTTATTGTAGTACTGTACAGTAAGACCTTGTATTTCACGAGTAATATAGACTGGAAAAATTTATCCAAATGCAAATACATAAACTAATGGGAAAAATAACAATATAGACTGGCCACTCTACATCAACCTCTGATTTTCCCATTTATAACCTCCAAATGATACAAATTCTGCCTTTTTATTGATTTGATTGTGCTTTCCGGAAACTAGTTTTTAGGCCTTCCTCAAGTAATTTAATCACACGCTGCTTATCCTGCATCAAGTACTTGGCAAACTTAACTCCCTTATGATAGTCCCACTTCTCCTTTCCCTTATTTGGCTGCTTAGGTGGGTCTGTATCACCCCCACCAGCACCAGTAGCACCACCCATAAAAGCACACATAACAGCCCGGGTGGTCGCTAAGATGGCGCGGGCTACAACGCAACAAATGCATTCTTATAAACCTCCTTTACGTTCACCACTGGTAATTCGATCACCAAAACGCTTCTTGGAAACATTCTTCTCGCCTTGTCTTTCTGTATTCATCGCTAACACAACAAAATTGGAGAAAACAGCAAAAATTATGGAGTAATTGACCGAAACCGCGCGATTCAACTGATCATCTGATGTAAACAGAGAGCGCTGGTGTAAACCGTTATTAGTCCTCACTGCGAAACAATCTTTTCATACAGTATTTATGGGTAACAGCTAAATTTGCACCAAAACAAAAAAAAATAAAAATTTACAGAGTACCTCTCAAAAAACACTGCACAAACAAAAGACACGAATCAATTGAACATGTGATGTCGAACGTGAAATGTAAACATTGCATAACCCCGAGCCACGCTTAAAATGTTGAGGATGGAATAGCGCTATAGCCAACATTCGTAGGCAAAGGTTCGTGTTTTACAAACAGCGTTCCCCTATTCATCATTCGCGTTGACAAAACACGTGTTGTAGCAGAAATGACTGTAACTGGTGTGAGGGCTGTGAGGTCATTCAAGATGGTGGCCAGCATTCAGCTGGCTGAATCTCGTGAAATTCACGATATTTTCCGCCAAATATAAAACTTGGTTACATTAGGTAGTGCTCACGAAATTCAAAAACACAAAATATGAGATCTTACTGTACTGTATTTTGGAAAACTCACTCTGTGGGGGTTGTCTGCCCTATTAAATGCTCCATTAAAGGGGTAAAGCCACATGTTTGAGCTCACCAGAATTTATTAAGAGAGTTCATAATAGTATCTCCCAGTGGCTGACACTTCATTATTTTACTGTGTTTATTTGTGTTTTGTTTATGCATCATCAATACCTGTTTTTGAATTTTGTATGGATAGACAGTAGACTGTTTATGTGGGATACATGTGAATATGCTAATCACTTATGAGTGTCAAACACCTCTACAGTTTAAAAAAATATATATACAGTTAACCCTCACTTTACGCGGTTCCGCATTCCGCGTTTCCACGTTTACGCGGTGCCCTGCCGGAACCCAGGATGCTCACATTCCGCGGTGCGTGTACCCCTTTACGCGGAGAGCGGCTGGCGAGCCGCACCATTTTTGGATCCAAACCTCCCGCCATCCGCCATGTTGTGTAAGCTGCGCGAACATGGTGCGCACAAGGTCGCCCAGTCATCAAAACATTACCAGTTCTTCACCCGCCACCCACCACAGCCGGCCCAAGTCAGTGATAGTGATAATTATGGTGAGGATATGGACTTATATGGCCTTTGGGGAGTTTGACAAAGAGGCCCTGCAAGCCTCTGTGGTGGATAGTGATACAATTGATACAAGTGACACAGGTGAGGGCCAATAATCTGCCCTCTGCCTCGGAACCAACCGCCCATCCCCGTGTGCCCAGCCATTTTTTCTACTAATGTAAGTGTTAAAAAACCTAATATTATTGATATTTCTCTTAATTATTAATTGTGTGTGCATACCATCATAAAGTTAAGATAATATTTTTACTACAACATAGTTGTGTGTCGTCAAAAAGTGGAGTTTGGGGATCGGCCCGGACTCCATTTCAATTAATCCCATATGTTATGTTATTCACTTTACGCGTTTCTCACTTTCCGCGGTACCCTCCGGGTTACATTAACCGCGTAAAGTGAGGGTTAACTGTATATTATTTGAGGGTACAGTAAGTGTACCAGTACAGTAAGTGTACCAGTACAGCAAGCCAAAATTTCTAGGGCTGAGGGATGCATCTGTATTTTAATAACCAAAAGTTAATTTTAATACAAAATAATTTGGTTAAAAACAATTTCCATGAGAACCAAACCTTATTCTCTAATGAGGGTTTACTGTACATGGGTTCTGACATTTCAGATATATTGGAAATCACAAATGTGAATCCTGTTTGAATAAGAAATATACAGTAATTATATTTCTGAGTTACTTAATAATGTAGTACTTATTACTATATCCCATTTCATGGTTTTAGCAATTATACTGTGCTGTACTAATTGTAGTTCATACTTTAAAAAATACTTACACTATATACATAATCTGGGCAAAATCTTGGTTGTTCGAGAACCCGTCCATTCTGTACCCTTTCCACCACGTCGGCATTCTTCATCCTTCCATATGGCATCTTCCCACACGTAAACACCTCCCACATCAAAACACCAAATGCCCACACATCAGATTTTGAGGAAAATCTCATGAAATTTAGTACTTCAGGGGCTGCCCATTTGATTGGAAACTTGGCACCTCCAGAACCAGTGTATTCATCATCCACAACATACCTGTAGGAGTTCATAATCAGATTAAAATTTACAATACCGTACTGTATATCTAAATATGTAATGATATCCTTTAAAGCAAATGTTTAGTTTCATACCTTCTCTGGCCACCCACCAGAGGCAGCCAAGCCAAGGGAAGAAGACCAGTGACCTGTGTTGGATCCCTCTGTTGTTCTTGATAGTTTTGTCAAGGGTTATTTTGTAGTCCTGTACTATACTCATTTCCACTGCTTGGGCTGGTAGACCATTCCATAGGTCTACCAGCCTCTGTGTGAAGAAGTATTTCCTTTGTTCATTCTGCACGATATCTTGGCAAGCTTGTAGTTATGTCCTTTTGAGTTCGTGGTGCGCGACATCACAAAGAAATATCCCGGGTTCATATTTCCCTTAATTTTCAATGTCTCTAAGAGGTCTGCCCTATTGTCTTGTCTGAAGAGTTGTTAGTCGTAAGGCCCTTGGTCTACTTGGCTAATTGAAATGACAGTTCCAAAATCATCTTAGTTGCTCTGTGTTGCACCTTTACTAGGAATGCCAGTTCTTTTAGGAGGGAGGGTTTCCATGTTTGTATACAGTAATGCAGATAGTGATATATAGTATATGAGATTTATACAGTTGAAGGAGCATTTTCCTATCTTTGTATTCGAAGGTACACTTTATAATTCACAAATCTCAGTTTGCTTTTCTCACGGCTGTTCTCACTTGTTATAACACCTTCACTGACTGACCTACCACAACTACTAAATCTTTCTCCTCATCAAAAGTACGTATCCAGGAAAGTGTTATTAAGAGAATATGTTGTGATTTATGTTGCGGTATGCTACAGGCAGAATCTTACATATTGTAATACGTATTAAAGAGCACTTGCCGGTCTCAAGACTGTTTGAACAGCTCGTGCACTGTTGCGATACCTTTATTCTTGTAAACTTCTACTTTTATTTTTTTAATGCACATTAAAAAATTTTTACAAAATAATTTTCCTCAAAATAAAAAAGACTTAACATTTTCTTCTAATAACATTTAAATATGATTGTTCAGTGTTCATAATGTCTTCATTTTGTACCTCATACTACAGTAGTAAGGAGTATTTCCTCTTGTTTTTCTTAATTACTTGTAACTCCCTGTGACAGATTCTATCCTCAGTGCCAGCAAGGTAACATCATTAAAAGTTTTGAAAAAAGTAACAACATACCTTGACACACATTAGCTGGCAAATTCTTATAGGTTCAAGCAGAAAAAAGAAGATAAATATTAGTTGATAAATCTTGGGTGGTCTGAAAGATTCAATAGTTGGCAGTGCAGTAATTTGAAGAATGTGTTTTACAAAGAGGAGGCAAATAAAATTCCCAAGAAAGCAAACTAAATGTAAGTGATTGAACAGATGAGCTTGATGACCTTGATACAGGTTTATTTCTTTAACAACTACAGCAATCCTTGTGAGTGTGAATTCAGTTTCTGAGAATACAACTTTGTAATCTGTTTAAAAGACATTGCATTGATCTAGAGAGAGAAGGGTTTTGATATAAATTTGATCCAAAATCCAGAAAATTTAGAGACTAGTGATAATACAGGGTGTACTTGGTAGATGGTACAGTACAGGTGTCCCCCAATTTACAATATCCCCATCTATGATATTTCGCTTGAATGATGAAGATGTATTAAGACCACCCCCCCTATTTACAAAAAAAAACAAAAAAAAAAAGCATGAACAATGGTCATCATCCAGCCAAAGCAGAATATGGAATGCATCTTTCACTGCACTTGTCAGCTGTGATCAACCCACGCAATGCACTATAGTCCCAAGCTTCGTTCCATGGTAATCACATAGGTATGGCTGTGACTGTGTAGCTCAGCGATTATCAGTAGTGCCTGTATTGTGTTGTTACAGTACTTACCATCAATGTTTTTGTTTTTTTTGTTTTACTTTACAGTGAGAGGACATCACTAATGTTCACATTGTACTCTATTTTGGTGACTTTGAAATGATTTTTGCTATGTTTTTCGTGACTGTAAAGTGTATTGCCTCTGTTGTTGTGAACATGATGCGAGCAGTGTTGGCTGCTATTTTTGTTTTTGTATTATCATCATTTGCTCTGTTTTTGTGACTGTGAAGTGAGTAATGTAACTTTGAAAATGTCTGGAAAGTGCAAGTCACCCAGGAAAACTGTGTCTCTGGAGGTGATGCTTGACATAATGAAGCTGTGTGGGAGTCAGAGTGACATCTCCACTCCACCTTCAAGGTCCCTTTAGTATCAAAGAGGACATGTGATGACAACCAGGCTTGTTCTTAATGACATGGTAAGTGTCATTTAATTGTGTTTTATGTCTAATATTAGTGTAGGAATTTTATTTTCAGTGATACATGTGGGTGTTGGACTGGCTGGGACTGTATCCCATTGAACCCCATGTTATAATGATCCCGATTTACAATATTTTGACCAGTGATGGTTTAGAAGAACATCGTGCCATGAATGTGTGTTACATATCACTAAACAGAAAATAAAAGAGAGGCGTGTTTATATAATACATCCGCTACAAAACTTCCAAGTTCAAAACAAGATAATAAAAAAATAAATAAATCACAGAGATAATCAATTAAGTCATCTAAGGATACATGTAGAGAAAAATATTTTGATCGTATAATTAGAATGAGGGGATGATAACAGAAATATTAATGGGCAAAGTTGGAGGGAGGGACGGCCAGGGAGGAAGAGACTCGGTTGGACGAATTAAAATAAAAAAAATTGGATCCCAAGAGATACAAAATCTTGGAGGATTAATAAAAATAACCCGAAAAAGTTTAGAGTGGAGGACTGTGGCCGCCAACCCACAAATATGAGGATGATAGTCTGATTGATTAATTGATAATGACCTTCAGTTAACCAAAAATTTCAGTTATCCCAAACGGTTCTAGTCCCAAGCATTTCAAATTTTTGAAGTGCAACCTGTAGTACTTACTCTTTAGACTTGCTCCAGGAGTAAAAAAAAAATAATTAAATATACTATATATATATATCTATTACTTACCGAGCTAGACCAAAATCACCAACTTTGATCTCACTTTGGGCCCCAACAAGACAGTTTCTTGCTGCTAAATCACGGTGAATAAACTTCTGCTTCTCTAGATAGGCCATACCAGCACACACCTACAAAACAATTCACCCTGTTACTATGATGAAATTCCATTTTAAAGCACAAGTAATTTTCTCTATAAAAATTCAAAAACATATATTATTTTTATTTTCAAGTAGCCCTTGAGTTGTTGATAGACATGACAATTGTTATATTTGTTGGTCGATATAGCTTGTACATCTGTAGGTATATAAGATAATGTATAGACTTATCTCATACATTTGCAGATATACAGCATAATGTATAGATTTATCTCATACACTTGTAGGTACAGTATATAGGATACTGTACAGTATACTTACCTCATACATCTGTAGGTCATATAGGATAATGTATAGACTTTATCCAATTGCAGCTCATCAGACTTTTACAATAGTCAATTTTCAGACTTACCTGTAGGCACATGTCTAGAAGAACATCTGTGTTGTTAATTAAGCTTCTTTCGTTGGCCCGGAGATAGTGTAGCAATGAACCATGTCGAAGGTATTCCGTGACAATATAGATGGGGCGGTGTCTGCTACACACACCATATAACTGAACCAGGTTGGTGTGTCGTAATTGTCTACGAGAGCAATGAAAGAACAAACATCAATAAATAAAACAGAAAATTAGTACTTTACTGTATACTGTCCATGAAATATAATGTAAATCATAAAATCATCCTTCCATTTTTCAAAGCACATTATGTTAGTTGACTATTTTCAAAGTACTGTACTGTAATATGAAAATTAATCTTTTAACTATGAGCCATTGAAAGCTCCTAAATAACATACATACATGAGGAAGGAAATAAAAAAGTATTATGATAACACTAATGGACCACTGCAAATGAGACTATAATTTTCATTTATTTACTTTTTGTTTTTGTTTTTTTACAATTCTCCTTTGGTCAACAAGCAACACAGCCTGAGGGATAAACTTCAAGTGACCAAATGCACTAAGTATAATTTCACTAGTCAAGCCTTTAAAAATTTGCAGATGAATTAATAAAGTTGTCCATCTGGTGGGTGATTTAACAAATATTATAGAAAGGGATAAAAAACAATCAATAACCGGGTATGTAAATACGAACTCTTGGTGTCAACAGAACATGTGTGGATATGTGTTTATAACCCAGCTCTTGTATTTGCAGTCTTTTGTGGGGTGGTTTTACCTGGTATTTAAACAACAGTGACTTCACCATTTGCACTTACGTCATGACCTTAGCTTCTTCAATAAACTCATCTTCACTCATCGTTCCTTCCTTCATCATCTTTACTGCTACATCTAGAGACCGAAGCTTTCCATGTCGCACTACACCAAACTGGCCTGATCCCAATTCCTCTAAGAGGTTCAGTTCATTTGGATCAATTTCCCATTTATCTGAAAAAAAGAAAAAGGAAATATATATATATATGTACAGGTACTGTATAGGTATACTGTATATATATACTGTACACAATATGTGTATAAAGCAAGGAGTAATGTTCTCACCCAATTGAATCAATATCAAGTTACAGTTGATATGATGATCCTGACCTTTTACCAGCACCATACACATGACAAGGGTTTGATATACTGTACATACAGTAGCTATACAGTACTGTATATGGTAATTCTTCAGGCATTTCAAGACCAAATAATATGTGAAACTGTGGCCATGATTTAGTACCTTCTTAAGTAAAACAAAAGAGTATGGTGCATTAGAGTAGTGCTTCCTCCCAATCTTACGAACAGGCATCATCCACTGCTTTGTTATGGGGAAAAATGACAAAACCTATGCAGATAAAACCACATCCTTCCTTGCAGAAATTCCTGAGTAAAAGCCTGCTGAGGGACAAAGTCTGTCACCAATCCCTGGACTGGTGATATACTGTACCCACAATAGCTAAAGCTGTGAAACATTCCACTCCATCTCCAAAGGATATATGTGACAGAGGTATGACATATACCTGTCTCTGTGGAAGGAGGAGGAGAAAATTCAGGAAAAATGATTCTTCTTATCTTTCATAATTAAAGAATCCTTCTTCCATACTTCCAACTTGAGTAGTCAAAGGAAAGCCCAACACATCTGTTTCACTCTCAATGTTCTCTGTACACTGGTCAATAAAAACACACACACAATACATGCACAAATAAACACTATTCTGTTGACTAATATTTCACTGAATGCCCTTTATCACTGTATTAAAGTCCTACAATTTCATTTTTTATGACTAAGATCATAAGAGCTCTATCTTATAGAGGCACAGGCCAGAAAAAATAACATTGTGGTGTAATGAATAATCAAGTAAGAAAGGAGTTCTGTGCCAAACAAAATTAAGATGAAGAGACTTTTTCAAAAGATCTACAAAATTTTAATCTAACAGTTGCTAAGTGAAAATATCAAAATGATGTTCTATTTAACTTAGTCTTGACTAAGATGCAACTGCTAATATACTTGAAATGATTAAGATTATACAATATAATTCTGCTGGTCAAGCTCTTATCCCTTACACAGAAGGTAAAGATTCCTTGTTCCACCCCATATGTGCAAAAACTTGAATGCCAGGAACATGAAACCTCCACTGATGTTGACTGCTACCAGTAAAAGACTGAAATTTTAAATCCATCTGTGTGGTGGAAGAAACGAGCATGTGACCAGTCACCAATCTCTTCAGGGGCGGATTTAGTCAGTCAGACATCTGGGCTAGAGCGTCTGTACATATATAAGGGGTAATTGGGGGGGGAGCACGAAAGGAGAGTGTTGGGTCCCATTTTTCTCTTTTTTTTTTTTTTATTTCTATACATTTTTAGATTGTATTTCATTAAACAGGCAAAATATAAATTAAATACTGTACAGTACCGTTTCAGTCATTCAATTGTGCATTTCTCCCCTTAAGTTCTCTCTCTTTATAGTCATCAAGTCTTTGGCATACAAAATAACACATCTTCTCTCAGATTCAGGGTGTAATCTTGCACTTCTTTACCTGATACTGAACTAACACACTAATATCCCTGACTTCATGTTGCCAGAGCAACAGTATCTTCAGCTGAATTGTTTGGAACACTAGGATCCACTGTTTATATAAATTAATACAGTACAATCATGTTGCAATGATTTAGTCTTTATAAAGGAATCTTTCTTACAACATACCATGACTAAGACCAGCAGTGGTGGGAGCTTGTTTGCCTTGCACAGGTGGCCTGAGCCTGGCACACAGTCCTCCGGGATTGTGTTGGTGTCGGTAGATTAGATCAGGGATGGTCTGGCACTTGATTTGATGTGAGAGATAGTAGTTTCCTTCCTGGTCTTTTTTTATGTGGTAGTGTTTCACTTGAGGGTGAGACCTGGGAAGACAGTGGGGGAATTAGATAATGTTAGCTAAAAATAGATATAACGTCTACTGGCAAAAAAAAAAATCGTAGTTTTTAAAACTGGGAGAACTTAAAAGAGGCAAATTGCTGGGATTTTCCAAGTACGAGCAATCTATATAAATTCACGGCAGATTTTAGATAAAAGTAAATGTTAATACATCAGGTGGACAAAACTCCCCAAAACTAAACTAAGAGAATATATTCCTGGATATACTGTGTGGGGTATGCTATAACGAACGGATTCTACTACGAATATTCCTATAACGAACAGTTTTACCTATAAAATTGAGAATGCTATAACGAACGCAACTCCTACAACGAACGCAGATGAATACGGGACTATTTCGTCTGGCACATGAATATTGTTGTACCGCCGCTCACAACAAGAGTGTCAGGCGCCATATTGGTTCATTGTGTAGTTAGTGCACCACTGAACTTGTTGAAATTTCGTCTTTTGATAGTGGAAATTCGTGTTATTTTTATAACTATTTTGTTATACAAGTGCACAATTATAACAATGAATCCTCAAAAGCGAGTGAGAAAGCTAATAACCCTTGAAACTAAGAAAGAAATTATAAATAAACAGACAAAGTGCCTGTAAGACAGTCACCAAAGAGGGCTAGGAAGGATGACTCCTCTCCCTCCACCTCTTCTCCATAATTCTCTCCTCCCCCCTCCTCCTCTGCCTCCTGTCCTGCATGCTGAACAACACTAAGGTAAGATAAAGTACCGTATTTTTTACAATTTCCACAGAAATTTTTCAGTGTTAAGTGGTTGTATTTGGGGGCCTGGGACGGATTAATCCTATAACGAACGAATGCTATAACGAACGAGGTTCTAGAACCAATTAGATTCGTTATAGCATACCCCACTTTACAGCATTCTACTGCAACATTAACTAGGCTAAAAAATCAATTAATTTAATTTTTATCTACCATGAAACCTGTAAAAATTAAATGATCCATTAATAACTATCTTGAAACGTTATCTTGATTATTTTCCTAAGCTATCTTGGTCAAATTTGTAATGCTGAACCTTTTCCAGTTTCTCTTCATCAAACCATACATTAAAATTTGTCCAAATCTCAAGCAAACTTGAAAGTACTCATTCAATTCTTTCTATCAGAACAATTTTCGATCTGTGAACCGTCTGTTATCCCATTCTTGAAACATGTGCTTTCTTGTCTTTCCTAGATTAGCTGCTACAAATCATTGTTTTAATTTTTTTTTTTTTACAATAATAATCGGTTGCCTCCCCTTGTGTTAAAGGCTGGCTGACCCCAAGGGCTACCTTGGTGTGAATCTGTTTAAGGTGTTGTAGTAGCTATTGGCAGCACAAAAACCACGCCTAAGTTAACAAGCTTTATGATCCAGAGTCAATGAACACTCCAAGATGACCATACAACTCGCCATCTGCACTGGCTAACCATTACACCAGATCATGGTCCACAAATTGATTAATACCCAGGTCCCAATTATTGCTGGGTAGACAGGCAATTAACGAAAAGAAACTTGCCTAGGGATCGAATATGGGTTCATTCACTTGTGAGGAGAGCATGTTGACAATTACAGAGTGTGTGTGTGTGTGTGTGTCAATTCCAACCCAGTTTTTCCAAAATATATGCACCGTCTAAGAAACAAGTACGTACCTTCCCAGCTTTGGCATATGATAATGAAACCTGGAATATTATACTGAAAACATAACTGTGAATACACCTGGTCAGTCGGATGTACAGTATTATTCTAGTTGCACGCACACGCACGCACGTGCACACACACACACTATTGAGTGATCATCAGAGAAAGAAAGTACTTATGTGAATCAAGATCATAATTGGCTGCCCCTTACAAGGTTCCACAGGCTTGTCAACTGTTTACAAGGTACTGTATACTGTACCTATATCTGTACTACATAGATGCATGTCGGATGGCTAACTTTTCTGTGATGTAGATACAGTACTGTATACAACCACTAATTACCCCACAGTCGAATCATGGACCAAAATTCGGAATCACCATGCTCAGGAGTACCTACTCATATACTGATATTTAGTGCAAATTCTCAAATGATCGTGATATTGGCTGAAACGGTAAGCCTAATTCAATTTTTTTTTTCAGATACAAATTCCTATTAATGTACTGCACTGTATATTAGAGATAAACTTTAACTTCATTGTATTTCATTTTCCATATTCTCAATCATCATTTATTGTTTATCATATTTAACAGGCATCTCATCGTCATCTCTATTTTATGGCTATTTCCCTGCTTGTGTGAATTAGCTGTGATTACCCAATGGCATAGTATCCCAGTTGACATCAGGCATATTTGAAGCAAGTTTTATGACTGGATGCCCTTCCTATCACCAACCCACTTTTACCATACAGTGGTAACCGGGTATTAGATACAGAATATACTGTACAGGGCTTCCAAGCACCCTCTTAGCTGTCAAGAGGTAAACATAGATTACCGGTGATTTCAAAGTGAGCTTTTTGTGCCATTATAATGCATACATATTTGCACCAAACACTGAAGAAGGATCACTGGTCACTGCCTAACATAAATTATATACTGTTAGGAGGTAGAAACAAAACAAAATCCCTCCCCAACTTAATGTACTTCAACTCACTGTTTGGAGAAAACTGATAAAGTATAAATTCCAGAGTTGGTTGTAGAGTTCCTTACAACAAAACCACCTTCCCGTTCTTGTTGCATCAGGAGTACTTCTGCCCGCTGCCTTGTTGCATCACCTAGATACCACCTTTAGATGCAAAAATCAAAGGAATTATCAATAATAGATTTCCATATAAAGACTATTTACTAAATAATAAACACAAAGTGATACCAATATAGTACAGTACTATATGATTTAGTATAAAATTAGCTACATGATACAAAATGAAATCCTCTAAATTAAAATCTCTCTCCAGGTCTTGATATATAACTTTAAACTTATATCTGGTCAATGAGTTATTAATATTAAAGGATTAATATTATACAAACTGATAATGTACAGTACATCTAGTTTTGCTAAAATGAGCACTAGCATGGCATGGAATCAAATTACCTTTACAGTTTTAGTAATATGAAAGAACTGGCCTATTGAAGTATACTATAAATAAGAACATCTTTTGGAAGTACTGTACCTTTAATACAGTGCACTGTACTGGTACTGTTTAAGTATTTTACATTTAAAGTAAACCCTGAGGATACAGATAAATGAATTACAAAAGGCTCTCAAACTACAGGTACAGTACTGTACAACCCTTCTTGGATACTGTAATTATAAAAATCTAAACTCTCATTGGAAGAATACAATATGTAACATAAATTAGTAATTATCACACTGTGTTAGCCTATTGTCATACAGGTAACTCTAAATGATGTACAGTACTACACTATAATCATCTTAATGAAAATTTAAGACTTTATGTACTTACTCATACTGCTGTAAGCCCATGGTCCCTCGCTCCCTTACATAATTACTTGGTGCAAAACCCTCATGTCTGCAAATGAATTACATTTTAATTATTGGTTCATTTGCAATAAGCCTAATTATTTATGAGTAAATTACAGCATTGTATTATTCTCTTCTGTAAATTACTGTATTTACATGACCGTGATTAATATTCATATTTAATATTTTTTTACAAATTGGTTTCTACATTACTGTAAATGTGAGCTTCATTTAAGAACTTACCCAGTTTGTATGTTCTTCATCTTCCACCAGTGTTCCTGTGTGTCCTCTATCACCTCCAACTCATCGTGCTGCGAGATAACCAGTTGTTAGCAGAAAAAACTATACGGTACTGTATATCAGAGGCACTCACTCACAGGTAGATCATTAAAAGAGGTTAACAGTGACTGCTTAATCAATGGAGACAAAATGCAGTTGGACTTGAAAAATCACTCTGTGCAAATTTGGATAAATGGTTAGGAAATAAGTGTGATGCATGTAATTGGCTGGTTGTACAGTATTTAAAGATACATGTACTGTAATGGAAAAACAGCTACTGTACTCATCCTGTTTTCCTAGGAGGGAAATGTTGGCACCCCAGCATAAAGAATACAGTAGTACAGTACTATATATGTAAATTAAGGATCAGTGAAACGAACTGATGTTCGTTCACAGAAGTACATTTAAATACAAGAAAATTTAAAGATATAGCACCCCGACATAAAGATGCTCGAGTCTTCGTCATCTTATTAAACAAAACAATCTTATAAAGTTTCACTGATATTCTTTCGACAGGTAAATAGTTGTGTGTGTGACATTGACAGAGTATGACTTTATGCTCCTCTAATACTGGGTTAATATAAAAAAAGGGGTTAGTACTGTAGTGGTTACAGATCTCTTGGCGAAGTCTTTTACCTACTTAACTACTGTACAATTTACGTCTCTACTGACGGAGCCCTGGCACTGAGGGATCCTTGGAGTAATGGCTTCCTCCAAGGCTTCCTGCCATTTTTGCATATGCTCCAGTTTCTTCACACACATAAGAAAAAAGTTCTAGCCAATTTAAGACTCATCTGACATAAATAAATAAACAAATGTCAACAAGATGGGCGGCAAAATATCGACGACGCCATTAACCCAAGAAGACCCAGGTTAAGACTCGGTTAATGGTTAGAATTGTCACCTTTTACTGCACTTACAAAAACAAGAATATTAAAAACATACACTTGCTTGTTCTTGCAAAATAAAGTGTATGTGTGTCTGTAAGTCGTGTCTTGGGAGTGCACCAACAAGGCTTGCTGATTTGTAACACCGAAGACGGGTAGCACCTTTTCACTTATGCTGTTTTGAGGGATTGCTGCTGTTTATGTGTTCCTAACAATATATCTGGTTTAATGGTTACTATGAGGGTAAATAATGGGTACAGAAGGACAGTACTCACTTTCCGTAATGACAGGTCCCCAGGGTCTGTAGCAGTGTAGTCGTACAGTGCCACCACCACCCTCCGCTGCTGTTGACAGACAATACAGTTAGCATTACAACAAGCACTAGTATTTAACGTCTACTGTAACACAATTGTACATTTACTTATATAAGCTCACTCTATCTTTTATCTAAGAGAAGTGAGGCCTTATGTCGAAGTATATTCACCAAACCTAATGGATACATTTGTTTTTAAAACTGCATATGATATACTTCATACTGTATAAGTTGTGTATATGATATAATGTATACTTTATAAGTAGTTTATATTAATACCAAAATGTCTGATAAAAGGTGAATTAATGAGGTACAACAGGATGTGTATGAAACACAAGAGTATCAAGGAACAACCCTGCTAAACACATCATCTGCGTCACACGTCATGAGCTGTGTAGTAATGTGGTCGTCTCCATACAGACCCTCCCCCTACCTGCGTGCACCTGCGGGGAACCCCCTTGTGGCTACCTGGAGAAGCGGGCCCACCACACCCAAACACTACACTATTCTAATCCCTATGTACCCGATACTTCTTATATAATGTTTTGGCATATCAAACAAATGGCATTAATCTTAACCCTGTACAGATTAATTATCTTTCAAATACTTAAATAACTGAGTGAAAATTAAGTGTCCGAGGCTGTGTTGCATTAGCCCACAAAAGCCTTATAACCACCCAAAATTTTCCAAGTGGACCCATCTTAACACATCAACCATACATACAACCCACCATTTGTACCTACAGACGTGAAAATCTATAGAAAACTGGTGAGAGTATATTTTATACTCTTTAAAACCAGAAAACGTAAATAAGAGAGATAACTTTTAATTATACACACTTTATAATACTGTACTAATGTACATCAGCTGCTGGGGAGGAAGGGTGATTAAAACAAACTGTACTGATTATATGTTACTTTTTTTTGTGGAATCGGTTATTTTGCAAAAGACCGACATGCAAAATAACTTACAGGCAACCCAAACTAACCTAACCTTATGGTTGAATAAGGTTAGGTTAGGATGGCTCGTGTAGCTCGATACACAGTTAAGTGACTGTTCTTTTTTTTTTCTTTGGACTATGTCCTGTCCTAACCATAAGGTTAGGTTAGTTTACGTTGTCTGTTTGCAAGTTATTTTGCAAAATTCCCAATATAGATGCCGGTCATTTTGCAAAATAACAGATTCAGCAAAAAAATATATACTGCATGCAAGGTAAAAGACAATTTACAACTGCACACTTTGGGATAAATCTGTGTTAGCCGTGGTTAAGACAGTGGCCGGAAGTGTCCTGTGTGTGACCAAATGCATTGGCTTACTTTGCTGATTTTATTATTCAAAATATTCACGTCTCACTACATTTTGAGATCTAAAATTTATTGGTTGAAAAAAAAATTGGGAAAATTGCAGAAAATTTATTTTTCCCTAAAACAATTAGGCAATGATTGAATCATTAATATAAATTTAATATTATATATTAAATAATTTTGATAAAAGGTGACAAATAAAGCAAATAGTCACATGTTGATCGGGGAGCGCAATGGGGTGGTGTACTGGGAGGGTGGTGCACTGGGGGTGGTGTACTGCTGGGGGGTGAGGGTGGTGTACTGGAGACTGGGGGGTGGTGTACTGGGTGTGCTGGGGGGTGTGTCAGGGGGTGGTGTACTGGGGTGGTGTGCTGGGGTGGTGTACTGGGAGGGTGGTATATTTCGTGAGGGTGTAGGAGAGTGGAATGTAGACACGTTGTCATTACAGTGAGTGATCGGTCACGTGCCAGCTGACGTAAATTATTTTTTTTTATGTTGTGATACTCAAATCCGAAACTTTATTAAATCATTATTTTAATAAGCCACTGTTAAGTTAGCTTATGCTCAGGATTGTAAAATATTTAATTGGCTGGATCACAAGTCTGTCTGTCTGTTCTCTGGACAGGTTCATGACAACTTTGCGTATAAAATTGTCTGATAATAGTGTTGGGTTACCTCCCACGCCCGCCTCCCTCTCCTGGCCCGGTACGCTCCACAACATGCTGTTCTGTAACCCAGTTTTGGCAGTGATATGAATGTGGTTCAAGGCTGTCGGGGCAAGATAACTTGGTCCGTCAACATGCGAGGGAGCCATCACCACCGCCCCACGGCTCCTGTGCCCTGGTCGTGCGGCGTGTATTTTGACCATGGTGCTACGGGCAGCAAGGCAAGGGACGGTGTTTTTTTTTTTACCAATAATCTTTGTATCTTATTTCTACTGCTCCTGACACCAACCTTTGTTTTATGATATTCTAGACCAAAATATACTGATAAGGAGTTACGACAATGTTTACTGAATATTTATGTTGGACACAAATATTTTCATGGTTCCATTATTAAGGATCAAAGGTTAGCGATCACTTGTTGACTATTTTATGTAGGATCATTTCTATATTTATCCCGCCTTCATTCTCCTGTTCTGTTCCCATTTTCTATGGGGGGAGACTAAGGAAGAAAAGAAGTGTTTAGTAAATTATTATAAACAATTATCGAAGCTGTTCCCCTTCGTGTGTGGTGACAACAGCGCTACAAAATCATCACTTTTCATCCCCCACTCCTCCATCCACTCCTCGTTGCCTCTGACGGATTTCCACACCTCAGTCACTCCTAAACACAGGCTTATCTACGAGGCGGATGCAGTATTCAAGTCATAATAAGATGGGTGCTTCATACATATAGATCATCCTTGAACTTACCTTAAGGTAAATATTAGCACCAGTAAGCCGTCGTCTCTCATCAGCCCAGAACGAAATAGGAAATTTTACAAGATGCGCGCACGTGCGCACACACACATACACCATATATACAATATACTTAAAACAAAAAAGAGCTTTGGCTTTATAGTTTGAGCGTGCACAATAACCAACCTCTTGCACAAAAGCTCCAACATTTGGTGTGGATCAACCAAGTGAAAAAATAAATCACTGTACAACGCCCACAACCCTGCCTCCACAGAGTTCAGTCCTTTTGTCTTTCACTCACATTTGTTTCAGTCCTTAAGTCCAGAGTAAGTCAACTTGTTTCCTGTGATGATGCACCAATAAGTCACTATGGTGTGAGGTCTGGTGATCAAGTAGTTTTTGTGACAACTCCTCAAAATTTTTTCATGTTTTCCAATTGTTGTGGCAACTGCAGGAGTCACGGAGTGTTGTGGCCTCGAGGTCTCCCGGGCCCACCTTTATGGGATGTGTATCTAAATCCGTGGCAGGTTCTTGTGCTGCCTGCCTGTGACCCCACACGCTGACCCCGTGTCCGTCCCCTGGCCCTATGTCAGTCCATATGACCATCCTCCCCCGGCTCCCCGTCCCCCACCGGCATGCCGGCACCTGGGGCCCATCCACTCCAGTTCTCCAAATCAATTGACCACCATGCGGAGATGCTAGTGGACTACGTATATACGCCAAGAAGAAAGTCCCCTTCCAACCTCTCGACGTCCCCCTTGAAGCCGACACTACCGACGTACACGCCATCACAATCACACTAAAAGGTATGTCCCTTAATATTGTCAATGCCTATGGCTATGGCCTGGCACTTGACATTATTAGGGACCTGCTACGCTTTGCCATAAAGATAAATTGTACTGGAAAATTTACCCCTACACACTCATCATTCTGTCACTTTATGTAACTTGCTGACAAAACCCATGACCCTTCAGGCTTTTACGCCCTTAATGCACGAGTCATAAAGGTAAGCATAAACTCCGCATGCTTCCCAGATGGGCAATGTAAACGCTTCTGCGCTTCACCTTGCACAGGATGTAAGGGGGTGCCCAATAAACTAGCCCCCTCGGGGACAATCTAAAAATCTCCCCTGGCCCCGTGCCCATCCCCTGTGCTCACCCCGACCCCATACCTGACCCCTAGCCCCGTGCCCGATTCTTGGCCCGACGGCGACTGACGCTTCACTAATAATGCGGAACTCTGCTTGTTCCCCTCACCACCGACTGTGATGAACCCAGCCAATCAACTCCTTTCTTGCCGCCCTGTGTCCTCCTTCCTTGCTACCCTGTGTCCTTCCTTGTCGCCCTGTGTCCTCCTTCCCTGCCGCACTGTGTCCTCCTTCCCTGCCGCACTGTGTCCTCCTTCCCTGCCGCACTGTGTCCTCCATCCTTGCCACCCTGTATCCTCCTTCCTTACCACCGTGTTCTCCTTCCTTGCCACCCTGTGTCCTCCTTCTCTCCTCCCATGAAGGATCATCTCGTTGACAATTTCTTTCCTACGTTTTCATAATCAACTTTGAGCCGTCCTTATCATCATCACTATCACTATTTTCACTATCATACTCACCTGCGGCTTCATCATTTACACGGTCAGCCTTTTTACAGAGGCTTTCAGGAGACTCATTACCATCTGTTGTCACCAGCCTCTTATCACCTACTTCATCACCGCCACCAGGACCCACCAACAGGTCCTGGTGGCGGCGGGTCTCACAGTATGTCCAAGCCTGGTGGTGTGCGGTAATCAGAGACCTGCCACCTACTGTAAGGCTGAGGCTATCATCCTTGTGTTATGACCTGTATATCATACCCCAGCCTACCTCCGTCACCCTACCCCAGCCTTATCTCCCTACCTCTACCTCCATCACCCTACCCCAGCCTTATCTCCCTACCTCTACCTCCATCACCCCTACCCCAGCCTTATCTCCCTACCTCTACCTCCATCACCCCTACCCCAGCCTTATCTCCCTCTACCTCCATCACCCTACCTCCACCTTATCTCCCCTCTACCTAGCCTCTACCTCTCCTCACCTACCCCAGTCTTATCTCTACCTCTACCTCCGTCACCCCTACCCCACCTTATCTCCCTACCTCTACCTCCGTCACCTACCCCAGCCTTATCTCCCCTACCTCTACCTCCGTCACCCTACCCCGCCTTATCTCCCTACCTCTGCCCCCTACCCCAGCCTTATCTCCCTACACTCTACCTCCGTCACCTCACCTTACCTCCAGCCTTATCTCCCCTACCTCTACCCTACCTCCAGCCTTATCTCCCCCCTCTACCTCCCGTCACCCTACCCCAGCCTTATCTCCCTACCCCTACTCCTCCCTACCTCCATCACCCACCCCAGCCTTATCTCCTACCTCTACACCCCTACCCCAGCCTTATCTCCCCTACCTCTGCCTCCGTCACCCCACCCCAGCCTTATCTCCCTACCTCTACCTCCATACCCCAGCTCCCTACCTCTACCTCCGTCACCCCTACCCCAGCCTTATCTCCCCTACCTCTACACTCCGTCACCCTACCCCAGCCTTATCTCCCCTACCTCTACCTCCATCACCCTACCCCAGCCTCTCCCCTCTACCTCCGTCACCCTACCCCAACCTTATCTCCCCTACCTCTCCCCTACCTCTACGTCACCTCCTCACCCCACCCCAGCCCTTATCTCCCTACCTCTACCTCCGTCACCCTACCCCAGCCTTATCTCCCTACCTCTACCTCCATCACCCTACCCCAGCCTTATCTCCCTACCTCTACCTCCATCACCCTACCCCAGCCTTATCTCCCTACCTCTACCTCCGTCACCCTACCCCAGCCTTATCTCCCTACCTCTACCTCCGTCACCCTACCCCAGCCTTATCTCCCTACCTCTACCTCCATCACCCTACCCCAGCCTTATCTCCCTACCTCTACCTCCATCACCCTACCCCAGTCACCCTACCCCAGCCTTATCTCCCCTACCTCTACCTCCGTCACCCTACCCCAGCCTTATCTCCCTACCTCTACCTCCGTCACCCTACCCCAGCCAAATCTCCCTACCTCTACCTCCGTCACCACCCTACCCCAGCCTTATCTCCCTACCTCTACCTCCGTCACCCCTACCCCAGCCAAATCTCCCTACCTCTCACCTCCGTCACCCCTACCCCAGCCTTATCTCCCTACCTCTACCTCCATCACACCCCTACCCCAGCCTTATCTCCTACCTCTACCTCCGTCACCCCTACCCCAGCCTTATCTCCCTACCTCTACCTCCGTCACCCTACCCCAAAATCTCCCTACTCACCTCCATCACCCTACCCCAGCCTTATCTCCCTACCTCTACCTCCGTCACCCTACCTCTTACCCCCATTTCCGTCTCATGTTTCTTCCTGTCTCCCTCTGTCTCCTCTACCCTGTCCTGATATCTACCTCGTTCTCTGTCTTCCCTTCTGTCTGTGTCTCTTCGCCTCCATCTGTCTGTCCTCCCCCCCTCCCTCGTTCCCCCCAGTCTCGTCCCCTCACAGCCGCCTGGAGGTGGCTGAATATCATTACCGCCTCCTGCCTGGCACCAGTAAGCCTCCCTCCGTGTTTATGGCCAGAACTGGTGTAGTGTAAGCTGTCCTGACACCACCACCACCTGGCTGAGAAAAAACGCACTATAGGCCACCAACACCACTATCACCACCCCAGAAACACATACACACCTGACTGCAACCCCATAGTGAGAGCCGTTGACGTTGGTGTCCATATCAGGTGAACGTTAACACACATAAAGGCCCAGATGGTGTAACACAGACCCGGTACAATAAACCCGCAGACCAGTTGTACTATCCTCAACACAACACAACTACACAGGACAGCAGACACACAGGACAGCAGCCACAGCAGACACAGCAGCCACAGCTTCTCACAGTCAAGATAGTAGTCTCCAACTGCTGTGCCCTCCTTGTTTACAAATCTATCAATCACTTGCTTGACAATAATTATTTCCAGTTCCGGAATAATCAGAGATACAAATTGGCACCCAGAGCTACTAAGACCACCCCCCATGCGCTCCTCTCAGTCCCAGACCTCCATAAAATATCATTGTGAAGGTTTGGAACAACTTACCCCACCCATCCCAGCAAAGACTACGCTCCTTCCTTTAAATTATCTCTTAAAATATCAATTGTCTAAAGTATTAACATTTCTTGTAACACCTACTATATTTACAGTACCTGCTTTTATTGTACCATCAAAACCGTTTTATCGGAAATTAACATGTAAATAAATAAGTAATTACCATTGCAATAAACATAAATGCCAACAGACATAATCCTGAAAGCTCTGTCCTCTTGTTCAACCTTATTACTGTACAACATGTTGTACTGTATTATACTTATGTTTTTCAATTCCACTGTAATTTATGTATATACTTATAACATAAAAATAAACTAAAATAATAATAATAATAAATAAAATAAATAAATAAATATTGAAGTGATAGCCGTGGTAACATTATAGTATGTTCTTATTACCAGCATGCTATTGTACTATTCCAATGATACTAAATGTTACATAATACTTCCTTGAGATAAATGTATAGTATATATCAGGTGCCTAAAAAGAAACTCAGGTTCCACTGGCTCCAGCCATGTTAATATTGTTATTATTATCCACTCTGTATCTGTATTTTTCTGGCTAAATAAACTCTTTCAATTCATCAATCAATCAGGACGTGGCATTAAATAAGTATATTACTTATCAGGTTCACACACAGGAAGGTTCACACACAGGAAGTTCGGATTACACACAGGTTGTTCACACACAGAGGTTCACACAGGAAGGTTCACACACGGAAGATTCACACACAGGAAGGTTCTACACAGGAAGGTTCTAGTTCCACAAGGTCACACAGTTCACACACACACAGAAGGTTCACACACAGGAAGGTTCACACACAGGAAGGGTTCACACACAGGAAGGTTCACACACACAGGAAGGTTCACAGTTCACAGGAAGGTTCACACACAGGAAGGTTCACACACAGGAAGATTCACACACAGGAAGGTTCACACGGAAGGTTCACACACAGGAAGGTTCACACACAGGAAGGTTCACGGGGTTCACACAGGAAGATTCACACACAGGTGGAAGATTCACAGGGTTCACAAGGAAGGTTCAACAGGAGGTTACACAGGTTCACACACAGGAAGGTTCACACAGGAGATTCACACAGGAAGGTTCACACAGGGTTCACAGGAGATTCACACACAGGAAGGTTCACACAGGAAGGTTCACACAGGGAGTTCACACAGGGGTTCACACACAGGAAGGTTCACACACAGGAAGGTTCACACAGGAAGGTTCCACACAGGGAAGGTTCACACAAGGAAGTTCACACAGGAAGGTTCACACAGGAAGATTCACACAGGAAGATTCACACAGGGAAGGTTCACACACAGGAAGGTTCACACACAGGAAGATTCACACAGGGGTTCACACGGAAGGTTCACACACAGGAAGTTCACAGGATTCAAAGGTTACACACAGGAAGATTCACACACAGGGAAGGTTACACACAGGAGGTTCACACACAGGAAGGTTCACACACAGGAAGGTTCACACAGGAAGGTTCACACAAGGAAGTTCACACACAGGAAGGTTCACACACAGGAAGTTGGTTCACACACAGGAAGGTTCACACACAGGAAGATTCACACACAGGAAGGTTCACAAGGGTTTGGTTCACCAGGAGGTTCCAAACACAGGAAGTTCCACAAGGTTCACAGAGGTTCACACAGAGTCACACAAGGGTTCACACAGAGGTTCACAACGGGGATTCTTACCGAATACAACGGAAGGTTCACACACAGGAAGATTCACACACAGGGAGGTTTACACACAAGAAGGTTCACACACACAGGAAGGTTTACAGCAACAGAAGGAAGCCACACACAACAGTCACGGTGCGTCATAACCAGAACATACTGTACCTATCGTCATAACCAGAACACATGCACACTGTCGTCATCACCAGAACACACTGTACACTGCCGTCTGGCACATCGGGCACTATACGTCATAACAGAACACATACTGTACTACGTCATAACCAGAACACAACTGCTACACTATCGTCATAACCAGAACACATACTGTACACTGCCGTCGCAACCAGAACACATTGTACACTACGTCATAACCAGAACACATATGTACTACGTCTGCCGAACATACTACACTGCACGTCATAACCAGAACACATACTGTACACTATCGTCATAACCAGAACACATGCTGTACTGCGTCATAACCAGAACACATGCTGTGCACTCGTCTAGAACACACTGCCCATTATAGTCATAACCAGCATACTGCACTCTAGTCATAACCAGAACACATACTGTACACTATCGTCATAACACATACGTCACTGCGTCGTAACAGAACACATACTGTACGCTCGTCATAACCAGAACACATACTGTGCACTATGCGTCATAACCAGAACACATACTCGTCTAACATACTGTACACTATGCATTCTAAGAACACATACTGTACACTATCGTCATAACCAGAACACATACTGTGCACTATACGTCATAACCAGAACACAT